TCGATCCGGTTTTTGGTGAAACAATTAAACGAGATACTTAAAGATATACACCGTCAATAATATTTAAATTGATTGCTGACTAGTACTACGCACGTGCTTCAGTTGATATCGTATTGTCAAAGAGTCAGAGTTGGAACAGAGACATTTTCTTTGGACTAAGATTATTGGAGACAATTTTATTCAACAAATCACACGTTTTTTTCTATTTATTTATCCATGGGTATACTAGCATGTTTTTCCTGTTGTGTTTTGATAAATGCCTTTTATGCAATAATAAATCATTTATCCCCTTACTGTGACTTTCATAAGCTACGGGCTTTCACATTCCTTTTCACTTCTGTTTATTTTGTGCTTTTTTGTATTTCAATAATGGATTAAACATTGTTTAAACTACGGCGACACATTGACTCTGACACACTGGGTAATCAGGATAAGATACATATACAGGAAAATATACTTGACACTGTGAAGTCAGAAATCTTATGACACTGTCTATTTGATGCCCCAGTGACGAATGATCTGTTCAGGACTGAATGGAACTTACGGCATGATGGCGTTTTGATGTCGCATTTTACGAAACTGACAAAAACTTATGTGTCCACTTCCAGTGAATTTTGATGATAACATATCATTTATGACAAAAGTTGAAATGTAGGCCAATTTTCTCAGTTCCATTGAGAGGGGTTTTTAGACTGGTTTTACTGCAAACATTATGGGAAATATTTTTTATGCACAAAGGCTACAATCTTTGCTAATGTTAACATGGAATAATATTCTACATTCAGTGGCATACAAAGCTGAAAATAACAATTGGGTCTGTCTCACTCACACCACATGTTACATGTTTATGAAGAAATATTTTTTCAAGTGTTAACTTATGCTTAGAGAGAAAGATGGATGAATATTTAATATATCTGGCCAAGTCTCTTAAAGAAGGAGTCATGGTCCTTCACATGAAGAGATTATACTAGAAATCCCAAGAAATAGAGTTTAAAGGCCAGGAGAGTTTACAACAGACCATGGATTGCAGGTCAGTTTGAACAATCAAAGGGTGGACTAATAGAAACAAATAAATCAAAAACAAATCTGGACAATATCATGGCCCTGTGTCACTTGATTACTCAAAAGATGTTGAATTAGTGTACATATTTTAATTATGTGACTTTGAAAGGTCAGGGTCATCATTAGAACAAACATGAATGTTGATCAATCTACAATCAACTGACCTAATGCCATGACCTTTGATTTCAATAAATCATAAAAACTATGCGAGTGCACATCAGTTATCATTCTATACAATATAGACTTTTTCGGTATATAGGCATTTTTTACAATATTGACTAGACAAGCCTTTGAGAGGTCTTATTAAAAATCCTAGCATGTCAGACCATTGGAACATGACAAATATGTAAATGTGTTCCTATAAATAAATTGTAGTTTGTGTGTCATGTGTGTGCACCTCATCAAAACATAACCCCAAAGATAAAATTATGTTTCATATTTTAAGTAACAACAACAAAAATATAATTTACATCCAATCAGCGGGAGCCTATTTGTTTGCTGTGTTTATTGCCCTGACACTATGAAAACAACATTCATTTTGAGGCTGCGTCTCCATGTAATAACTGGTGGCTACCTCACTGATCAACATAAAAGTGTCCTGTTGCATGTCTTCCAGTGCAATCAAAGTTAAGTGCTTTGACCAAAGACACAACACCAACAGAACAGGGTGGTCTGTTTCTCAGCTTTCTGATGAAAAAAACCACAATGAGTAGAGAGCATCGACTCCTGCTACTGGTATACATTCTTCTCTCATACAAGAGTTCCTCGGAACTGTATGTGTCGCCTGCATAAAGTGTCACGGTCACCCTGAAATTGAAGTGGATGTGCAACGATCAACCATAAAGTTGTAATACCAAATTTCATTTCTATAACTTGAAGCATAAAGGGAAAACTGCGCAAAGCAATATTCCTGAGAAATTTTCCAAGTTCAAAGAGACATATCACTGTCAAGAAGAGTTACAGACTGCCAAGAAGCGAACTTGGTGCGTAACTTTTGACCAAGAACTCGTATACAAAATTCCATTTTCATAACTCAAAGCATAACCAAGAAAATTCCAGAAAAAAATATTCCCAAAGAATTTGAGTTCAATGTGTCAGGAAGAGTCACAGAGAGCTGAGAATCAAACTCGATCTATAATCTTCCACCAAGAAACCATATACAACATTTCATTATGTTAACTCAAAGCATAATTGGGAAATATCCGGAAAACAATATTCCCAGCGAATTTTCTAAGTTCAAAGGGGCATAACTCAGCCAAGAAGGGTCACAGACAGCCAGGAATCAAACTTAATCTGTACCCTTGTAACAAGAAGCAATATACTATATTTCATTTCGATAACTCAAAGCATAAGCCAAAAAAGTCCGGAAAACAATATTCCCAGGAAATTTTCTCAGTTGAAAGGGGCATAACTCTGCCAAAAAGGCTAACAGACAGCCGGGAATCAAACTTAATCTGTACCCTTGCAACAAAAAGCCATATACCAAATTTTATTTTGATAACTCGAAGCATTACCGAAAAAAGTTCGGAAAATTTTTGTATGGACGCCACCGCTGCCGCCGATGACGACGCATGGCGACGGACAAAGTGATCCCTAAGTGTTCACCAGCTCTGCAGGTGACACAATAATGAAATTTGGATATATACAATCAAGAATAATAATTGGAAAAGAACAAAAATATTGTATTCAGGTGTAGGTATTTGCTCAAAAAGTTTTTATTTAAAATCAAGTCATTTACAATATATATACTTTTTATACATATTTGAAACATAATAAGTACTAGTATTTATGCTTTACGTAAAATTATGCTATACATGTTTGCTTATGTAACTACATTGGATAATCATATATTTTCATTTTTCCAATTTGGTTTGTGCAATGAAATTTGCAACAGACCAATTTTCTGCAATGGTTGTTTTAGAGATATACCAAGGTACAATGAAAAATATAATAATTAATTCCATTCTGGTATGGAACAATGCATCATATAAAATACTAATGGTTTTTAATTTGGACATAAAAACAAGGTAAGTCATTTTTCATCATGTGCGTTTAATTATGCTTTTGATAAACAAAATGTTTAAGGTTTCAAGCCCAGCTCCACCAGAGACCTCTGTCTTCAGAATCTTAAATTGATGAAAGAAATAAGGCTGAAAATATCTTGATTCAGAGACACATATAATGTTATATATGTCTGTACTTGAATATATCTGATTCTAGCTATCAAACAAAGGGAAGAAACCACTGATGGTTACTACACAATGGTGTCAACACAGATATCAACTACACAACAGTGTCACCACTGATGGTTACTACACAATATGGTTACTACACAATAGTGTCACCACTGATGGTTACTACACAATAGTGTCACAACTGATAGTTACTACCCAATAATGACATCACTGATAGTTACTACAGATATCAAAACTGATAATTACTATGTGTCACCACTGACGGTTCCAAAACATAGGGGCTGATAGTCAGACTACTCCATCGAGTATGCTAATCTTAGGGCCTTTTGCATTTTCTGTAAATAAGTGGTGTTCTTTTCAATTTTATCTTTAAAAGGCTATAGGAATGGTTTCGACTAAAACTCCAACATTCCCCACCTCAATGCAGAACTGTAGATAAATAAGCTGTGAGTTATTTCTAATGCTTGATATAACAATCCATTAACATGACAAGATATTATTATTGTTATCAATTATAGCAAAGATCATATAAAATTCTATTACCTACTTTCTAGAGATAATTTTTTATTGATAAAATCTTGTTTCCTCTCTTCTAACATTTAAGTACAGACTAATTATAACAAAAGTCCCATGGACCTTAACTGTCACTTGAGGTCTTCAGGTCATCACACGGTCTTAGAACCTGCCCATTAGTCCTATCAGACAGAACAGAAATGATATATGCATACTTCAAAAGTATTTATTGTTTCCAAGTCTAAAGGCTAACTTTTCAATTAAATGAAAAGATAACACTATCTGTTATTGTAGTTTAGCATATTTGACCACTGTGATGTTGAATGAAGGTCAAGGTCACTCATTTGAACAAACATGATGGTCCAATATCATGACCCAGGACCATTTGGTTATTGAAAAGATGTTGTTGAAAGATTCTTAATACATTTGGCCCCTCTGACCTTGAAAATATGTAAAAGTCAATTGTTTTAACAGACTTGGTATCCTTATCTTAGCATGCTACTGGCTCAATATTAAAACCTGAAGTTATTTTGTTATTGAGGAGAAGTCAAAAATTTAAACTGTTTACGATGCACAATGCACAACAGACGATGCTGGAAAAAAAAGCGATTGCTTAAAAAGCTGAAAACTGAATTAATATTTAAAATATAAATTTCCTGATTGAATTTATACACAAAAGATTAACACATGGTTCAGGAGAAAGATGCATACAAACAAGATGAAAAAGACACCATGAGTCAATTCAACAAATATGGTGACAGACTAAAAACAAAGAACTCCTTGAAGGTTTGCTACTAACACAAAGGTAAGTATTTTCATGAAAACTTTGTTTTTCCTTCCCTTTTTTATTTTGAATTTTAGATCTGTTTAATTTAATTACCGAAAAAAAGAATTTCTTCATTCCACAAAAGCTGGTTTCAATGGATATTGAAGGGCAAACAAGTGTGTATCAAACTGTGTCAAACCCTCTGAAATGTCTTGCAAAATTCTAAGTTGTCTGGTTAGAATATCTTAAATTTTCGATAAAAAAGGTTCTTTTCCATTAGATATTAAATCCTACAATAACTTCATCATCATCACCGTCAAATCAATCAATCAATCAATCAATCCATATCACTATCATCAACTGATACATCATCATCATCATTTCATTATATATCACTCTCGTCAGTAGATAATGCAACATCATTATCATCAATTGACAACACATCATCATCAAGGCATAATGCAAATGTGCAGTTTTAGCCTTTCAGCATGCAAAAATAAGATTATCATAAAAAATATGTTTACAATGTTCTGTCAATATTCTTTTTTGTGTTTGTTTTTGCCTCAGACACAGTAATATAAACAAGTACATATTTAACTGAACACTACCAAAGCGCATATTAACTCTCTAGAAGACGGATTGCATTGAAACGATTAGATACATCACAGGCAAGCTCCACTTCCATCATTTCACTATCGTCATCCATGACAAGGTCATCTGTTGTGTCATCCATCTTATGTACTGTCTTCTTTCGATCTTTTTTCCGTCTTTTCACTGGCTTTGCAGAAGAACAGCGGAAATGTGACTCCCTAACTTCATCTGTTACTGCCTGGTACAGACGATTATATAAATCCAACAGGGGGGAATGTTTCACAAACATTTCTGGGATATACAGGTTGATATTTGGTCTACTCTCAAGATTTTTGGTGAAATTGTACAAAAACGATCCATTGAATATGGAAGCAGGGTTTGGACTTTGGAAAGGCTTCTGGAGAACTTGGTTCAGAATCATTGAGTACAGAAAGCAGGTCTGAAACTGTGAGAAACCATGAATAATCCTCACATCGACTGGATGCTTCTTTGAGTGTTCCACTTTGTTAAAATATTTCCGTAAATTTTGAAGAAATTTTTCAACTTGCCCTGGTGAAGATCTGTTGATAAGTTTTTCTAATTCACTTGCCTCTGATCCAGGATCTGTGAGAGTTGTCTGCCCTTGGATCCTCAATGTTTCCATGGTAATGATACATGTGACCATAGCTCTGACCTGATTTACAATCACGCTAGGATCAGACTCTCTGATCCAATAAATCAGCACAGCCATTGTTAATTGCAGCTCTTGTGGAAATTCAAAAATTCTTGAACCAGAAAGATCAAGTGCAGCAAGAAATAATGACCTTCTTTCATCCATCCCCATTGCAGGTACATCTGCCAGGCTTGGTATTGCACCAAACATGGGTAATTCCAATGCTGGTTCCACCTTAAATTTTCGAATGTTTTTCATATTTCTTGCATACTCTGTAACACAATCTGGTATCGCTGAATCCAGAGCAGCTGCATCAGATGTAGTTTCTTGACCTTGCTCATCTCTAGAGGTCAATATTCTGTAAATCACTTTTCGAATGTTTAGACAACAAATAGTAGCAGAAGGAGCTTTCATGTCTTCAACTTGACAATTGAGAATCACACGCTGTAACATCACAACATTTTGGCAGAATTGTGCTATCTCTCCTTTCCAGAATGAACATCGAAACCAAACTGGTAGGTTAGACGGACACCTTTGACATTGCTCTTCAATCTCCTTTGACGATCCTTCCAGCAACAACCTCAAGTTCACTCTAGAATATTGTTTAGTGATTGAATATGCTTTGAGAGATATTCTCATTATGTGTTCAACTTTCAAACGCCTTTCATCTTGAAAACAAGACAAAACTTTTTCTATGGCATTTTCAATAGTTTCCACCCTTTCCAGCCAGTGAAATAATGATCTCATCTTTGTATGAGCAACTGGGATATCAAAATTAGAGTTACCTTTCTTTGGTGATGTCATTCTTTGATAGAAATCTTCAAACACCCAATGCTCCACAAAATCGTTTCCTAACATTGTTGCGATGAATGGCAAAACAGATTTCCCAAGGTCAGGAAAATGTTTCACAAGGTTTTGTGAAAAGTAGATACAACAAGGCAAATACTTATATTGTTTGTTCTCTGATTCTGCTGCGACAAAATTCACGCCATCAAAAGGAATGTATCCTGCTTTTAGATCAAACACATAAAAATCGCTGTCATAGCTCAAAACAGGAGCATTGAATTCATTAGCAAGGACAGCAATTTGATCATCTGCTTCAAAGTCACAAACACAATGTGGAACTCCAAGGTCAAGAAGCGTACGACGAAATGTCTCATAGGCCAAGATTGGCATCACCTTGCCTTTTCCTCCATGTGAAATAAACCCTGCAAGATGACATCGCTGCCGTGACCTCTCTAAAGCTGTTTTCAGTTTTTTCTCATCAATGTCGTATCCTCCATCAAAGATTACATAAGGCTGGATTTTGCATTCTTTCAGCATGAGAAAAAATCTTCGAATATGACTTGCAAATTTATCGTAGTCTCCTCCATGCATATAGTCAATTCTGTGGTCATAGAACAGGAGATGGTAAAGGTTATTTCCATCAATGATCAGTTTGCAATCATGAAGCTCAAACTTTTCCAACAACTGAAGATTATTGTCAATAAAGGTGGTGAGGCCTGGAATTCCCATACTTCTATCTCGTCCCTTCAAAACACCTTCACATGAAACATCACCAGGGCAACTTCACCAACAGTTCTATCACCTCGTCATGATTCAAGTTATCTTTTGTGACAAATCTGCAAGTAAACAAAACTGTTACTTGAAATATGAATATATAATAATTGACCTCATTTCAAGGTATTTTATCATTGTCTCTGCTGAAAACAAGAGATCCCAGAGAGATCTTGGTGCCCACCTTTGCTTTATCTTCATTTGTCCTTTGAAAGTGGGATATTTTCCTTTGTTTTCTCTTCTTTTCATTTTTTTTTTGCTCTTAATGATAAGAAATTTGAACATTCCTTTGCAGAAAAAGAGATGATAAACTTTAACTGCCAAATCCATGATGGTCGCTCAAAAGACATTTAATTATATCAAACAGACACAACTAAGGACCAAAGGAAACCTACCTATAAAAATTTATAGAGATCCATTCAGTACTTCTTAAAAAATAGGGATAACAAACTTTATTAGGCGAAATCCAAGATGGCCATCTGTCCCCATTTCTTTTTTTATCAGTCCCAAAATCAAACCAGCACAACTAGGGATCAAGGAAACCCACATATGAAATTTGAGAAAGATTTATGCAGTAATTCTCCAGAAAAAGTGGTATCATGAAATAGCAATAACAAACTTTACTATGCAAAATCCAAAATGGTCGCCCATTGGCCATGTTGTTTTTCTCATCAGTCCCAAATTGGCTTTCCTAATAGTCTGGTTATTGGGAATTTCCCTTCAGTTGAACTGTCTGATTCTGGTCAGAGAACAGAGTTTCTACATCATTCTTTTCTACAACATAGCTAAATCAAAATAGCTTGTTGTAACTCCATAGTTTTCTCTATAAATTTTGGTCAATAAAAAGTGGGAATTGCCTCTACATTTAACTTCAAGTGACATGTGCATCACTCATTACATGGATTCCTACGAGGCAAACATGACCCTGGATTGAACTAAGGAACGGGTAAGCATTTCAAAATTTGGTAAATACTTATGCAAACAGCACAAGGGAAACATTAACATATCATAGAAAGAAATGTGAATACATGTTTCGGTTCAACAAAAAGTGTTTTTAATAACCCTACCCTTTTCTAAGGTTTTGTGCCCACCCTACACTTTTCAAAGCAATATTCAATGAAGAACTTTCAATAGTCATGAAATATTTGTCATGTCCACTCCTTATGAATACATAACCAAATCTTGTTTGCCAAATGAAACATCAATTATATCAATTCAAAGTTCCTCAAACAAGGATAAAACTACCAAAACATTTTGTAATAGTATGAAATATTTACATCACAATTTCTATTTTAAGTTTCATTTGGTATGGACACCACGCTATTTTTTGGTGTCCATACTCAAGAGGAGGTGTTTTCAGGAGCAAAAATTAAATGTTTACATATCTGTTTTGTTCAATGTTATGAGACAAGGTGAATGGATTAAGATTGAAAAGATTAATGAAATGTATATTTCAGAAATGTTCATTAATTTACATTTACAACATTTTGAAAACATCAGAACCTTGAAGTAACATTTTGTGTCCTAAATGTTATGTCCAAAGATATTCTTAGAATGATGTTAACTATTGTATTGTTTGGGTGTGTATATCCTGATAATAGTGAATTAAGTGAAAAACCTCTGAACATGTTTTAAAGAAATTGAATCATTTAGCAATTGTGTAAATTGTGTCATAATGTTACGTCCCAAACATTGAAACTACAGCGATTTTATCTCTTATTACAAGTACGTTGGTACATATGTTTCATGACATCATGTTAGAAGCGCATAACGCATAGCAGTTTCAGATTGTTTAACGCGCATCTGCACTACGACGATGCAAAAAATTACCTATATAATGGAAGGGCGGTGACGCAAATCCAATATCCATGACGTTAGATAAGTATGTAGGCCAATCATTGAAACTGTTTTGAAATAATGGAATAAACAAGAAAAACCTTTTTACATTTAACAAATGGTGGATAAAACGCATGTGGTGTATTTTATGGCTCATTGTTCCTGGGACGCAAAGGACACCAAACAAAATTTGTTGTCTTTCCATTCTGCAATGTATTTATTATGTTGATGATGAAATGTGCAGAGACAATACTCAATGTAAGGCGACTTTACATGACAATACTTTTAACAAAATTTTCCTGGTGTATGATGGGTATTTCTATTTTTCTTTTTAAATATATCTGGACGCGAACATGGACTTTGAATCTAAACTGGATGTAGTGCAGGACACCAAAATAGCATTTGGTGAATAAAATCATTCTCAAGAGATAAGTTCTTTAAACATCATTTTGAAAATCTTTAATAGATATTATTTATTCAGTTACAAAAAAAAAAAAAATTGACCTTCATCTATTAGTATCCAAAAAACACATTCGATGGCAATATTGGTGACATGTTATGTCCACTAATTATCTATGTGAATCAAACTAATTTTATGGCTTAAAACTTAAGTTAGATAAATTGATGGCCATATATTAATTAAATAGAAAGTAATTTTTAATGAATTTGACAATAAAATTTACTGATGTTCCCAAAGGACAGCCTTTGTTGTCCTGTTACATTCAGAAACTCCATATAAACAGCTGTATTTTCTCCATTATTCAAAGCAGAACTATCTTCTTTACTGGTCAGTATATCGATGCAACATCATTTTATGATGCAACATCTACCACATCATGGTGTTTCACCTTGTTTTGAATTTTCAAAAATGGTTGTCTCGGACGTAACAAATATTTTATGACACCAAAGACTTGGTCAAATATGTAACATTGTGTTATGTTGTTGAATTATGTTTAAACTATAATTGCAATTTAAAATGACAAAGAACCAAGTATAACATTATTTCAGATTAGGGTTTATGTCAAATAAACTTTAGTGATTCAAAATAAAAAAAGAACAAAAGTAACATATCTTCAGACCCGGGTTGTCTATCAAATATCATATTCAACAAAAGAATTTCTATAAACAAAAAGTGTTTGTTGTGGATGGCAACAGCGTAAAGAATACCCGGATACGTAAACGTTTTAATCATTAGAATTACACACCAGTTTCCTGTTGTCCACATGTGAAACAAACACGAACAATAATCAGAATGCGTTGCATTTGACAAGAATGACAATAACAGATAAGAAGGTGACATAAAAGCATGATTTGAACAAAAGCTTAGGTAAGCGAAAATACCTTTTTCAATGTTTAGAATTCCCAGATACTCAGCAGAAAAATAAAATCACTTTCTAGTGAGAGCATTCCGGGATTCCCCACTTGTGCTGAAAAGTCACGTGATATGGAGATAGTTGTGTGTAGTGTCGTAATGTGGTAGGCAACGGAAAAGGACGCGCAATATGTATTTACCTTATTTTTACATTTTTAAAATTCAAATCAAGTCGAATGACTTTAACATATGTGTAAGTGACTAAATTGAAAACTTTGTACTTTTTTTGAGTTCAAGATGACGTACAAAAGTCCTGATTAATTTAATTTATAGTTTTTTCTGATGCGGACGCGGATCGTCAGATTCTTACATCAGCAGATGTGCGTGTCATTTTGTGAAAAGATACGTGTATCCATATTATTGGTTAGCATGTTGTTTTCGTTTAATTTGCACTTTTAGAGTGCATATCACTGAATTAGAGTTCAGATTACACGCTTTTTGAAAAGGATATCTTTTTGTACACAGAATTACCCATTTTTCTTTTTATTTATCAATTTTGTTTATTTTAAAGATGATTGAAAATATGATTGAAAATATGAGACTCTTCTTTGTTGAAATATATCAGCCAAAATATAAAAAAAAAAAAAATTTTACATTTATAATCACACTGAAAATCATGAAACTAAGGTAGTTTCCTAAAAAATTAAACATGAATAATGGAACAACCAGAGGACAGGAAACATTCACGCAACTCTATCAACTCCAGGGAAAATCCTTGCAGACAGCTCAGGAAAAGGATATCAGAGTTATAGACTCAGAATTATCATTTGATCATCACATTAGCAAAAAAGGAAAGAAAGCTAACTCCATTTTTGCACTTCTAAGAAGGACATTTCAGTTTATGGATCAACAATCTTTTATCCCATTGTATAAATGCTTAGTACACTCTCACTTGGACTATGCGAGCTCAGTTTGGGCATCATACCAGATAGAGCATGTTGATAAAATTGAGTGAGTTCAAAGAAGAGCAATTAAATGCCTACCTGGTATGCAAAATCCTACCTACAGCCAGAGATTGAAAAAGCTGAACCTACCAACTTTAGCCTTCAGGAGAGTCAGGGGAGAAATGATTGAACTGTATAAAATCACCAATGGAATGTATGACCAGGAATGCTGAGGGAATGGTCCAACTATGGGCTAAGGCCACTCAACGACACAGTCAGCGAGTCAACTCGAAAACAATTTTTCCAAAACAAACTTCAACCAGACTACACAAAAACTTTTTTTCTATAAGATCAGCATCAATCTGGAACAAATTACCGGACCATATTTTTACTGCAAAAACTGTCATTAGGTTTAAAAATTGGTTAGACCATTACTGGAAGAACCAAGAACTTTTCTTCAACTACAGAGCTGAAATAATTTAACTATTGAATTAACTGTGTAAGAAACATTGTTTTATGAGAGACATGCATAAATTTATTAATTTATTATAGAATCTTGAAACTTAACATACATTATTGAGTCTGGTATAGAGGACTCTTCACATACTGAACTGAAAATAAACTTATCTTATCTTATGAATATAGAAAAAAAATCCAGAAAAAAATATTAGGCGCAATGAAATATTTACTTGACATATCTAGTTGTATAAAGACAAGATATGCAAAAGAACCAATGGGAGGGACAGAAATTACCAGAGGCACTTAAAACAAGCACACACAAGATATATAGTAGGATCAGACGTATTACAGTATAAAATCAAGGAAGAAACACAGAAACCTGACAATAAGAGACCTTTCAAGGCTCTCACCAAGGATCAACATGACAGAGTAAAGTTCAGGACAATCCCGGCATGCAGTATTATTACGGGCGGCCCATCAGCATGTACTGGGTACAGTAGTAGAAATGCTAAAAAAGGATCTCAAAATTCAAGCTCAGCAAACTTTTAATCTTGAGGATATTAGTAATTCTGCTTTGTTACATGTAATTTCATAGTGTCATAGCTTTTTCTGTAAAAATCGGTGGTGATCTTATTGTTTTCAGGGAAAAATGAAGTTGGATACTGTTTGGAGCTCCCTAGGACTATCTGTCATTGGTCGGGTTGCCCTTCTTTTGTACGGCGAGTGGCAGGACAGAACAATGGCCGTAAAATTCACTGACATAGATTACTATGTCTTCACAGACGCTTCTCGACTGATGCACCAGGTGACAGTCACGCTTTTCAACAACAGGCATCCACCTCAATTTTTAAAAGAGCATAAATAAACGGTTTCATACATACAGGCCTTATTCTTCAACATGACAAAAATGTCTTGATCCTTAAAATGTGATATGCTATTCCAATTTAGTAATATGTATTTACTAAGATCAAAGTCAATTGTCATTGTAGTCTACTTCTAATATTACAATAATAATTAGCCACATTTGTTTCTGCTCTGATAACACATTCTATATAAAATCACCTTCTTGCCTTGATTAATTACAGTATTTGAAGAGTACTATCCTCAAAACATTACTGGAAATTTTAAACTAAATATTAGTGTATAAATCTTGTATTTATCAAACATTAATTAGTGATTTTCAAATTTTACCTCTACTTCAGAATATGTCCCCATACTACCGTCCGACATACCGTTATACACCGCTTCTTGCATGGATGCTGCAGCCCAATGTCACTCTGATGCAGATGTTTGGAAAACTTGTCTTTGTCTTCTTTGATGTGGTCACTGGTTATTTGATATATTCTTTACTGAGGTCACAGGGGTTCAAGGAAACATTAAGTAATGTGTGTGCTTGCTTCTGGCTCCTGAATCCTCTTGCTGCCACTGTGTCCACTCGAGGTAATGCTGAATCCATCATGACGTTTTTGGTGCTTTTGACATTAAGGTTGCTTCAAGGTCGAAGATATATCCTTGCAGCCATTTCATATGGCTTGTCAATCCATTTCAAGATTTACACTATAACCTATGCAATGCCAGTTTACTTTATGTTAAATGAAGAAAAGTTGGTGAATTTGAGCAGAAAAGGACACAGACTTGAGCAGTGTGTTGGGTATATTTGGCCCACTGGCAGACGTGTCTATTTTGGTGTCGTAGTGGCGTTTGTACTTCTAGCACTGACTGGTTTGTACTATCACTGGTAAGTATATTTATTCATACTTACTGCAATTAATTTCAATAATAGTTAAAGGGAAGAAGGGAGAAATGAAATTATAATGAAAGACAGTAAATAAGTTGACCTCAACTCCAACCCACATCACTTTTTTAGCAGTTACAGCATCAAATAATCAGACAAAAATTGTTTCTTTCTCCTACAAATAATTATGACAATTCTTTGTCAGTTACACATAAAATATTATATTGTCATATTGGTTTTGGATGACAAAAAGTTTTTTTGTGTACATAAGGTATTTTGTTATTTTGGGGAAACAGCAACAACAAACAACAGTATAAAAACCAGTTCAGAACAAACTTATTGATAGTTGAACGGAAATGTTATTAAAATCAGAATCATACTGATATTGAAATGTTTATTGAAAAAATTTTTGAAAAACTTTCCTGGCTACTTGTTTTATTCCAAATCCTATTTAGTCAACTTCTTATTGGCACCATACTGTCAGTAAACTTGACATTGTTTCACTTTTCAGGTATGGCTGGGCTTTTCTCGACAATACTTACCTGTATCATATTGGCAGAAAAGACATTCGACACAATTTCTCGCCATACTTTTATTTAATCTACTTGACAGCAGAATCTCCTCACTCCTCCGTTCTTGCCTTGCTGGTATTCATTCCACAACTCATTCTTATTGTCACCTTCTCCATAAAATTCTACATGGATCTCCCTCTGTGCTGGTTCCTTATCACATTTGTATTTGTGACCTACAACAAAGTATGCACATCCCAGGTAAGACATATTAGACAAAGCCTACTTTAAAGATAAGATTGTATCAGATTCTTATCATGGCAAAAATAGGAAGAAAACAAGAGGCACATAAGGCCGTATTGTTCACCTGATTCCAAAATAGAGGAAAAGGAATTCATAAGGTTTTTATCTATTTCCTCATTGGGCCCAAACCCTCTGACCAAAGGGGGGCAGTTAAACCATTTGTACAAAATCCTCCTTTTCTGTAGCATGCTTCAGAAACAGAAACAGGGTTTTGAAGAGTTTTAAAGATTCCCCTTCAACTAAGGATGCTTCAAACCAAATTGGGAGATCCTCATATTCTCACAGTTGTTACGGAAAGATTAGAGCCTTCTGCTCCGTGATCAATCAAAGTCAGTAATGTCACATTCTCAAATGAGAACAAGATGAGACCAAACAAAAGTCGATGCTTTGAGAGTTATAATTTGTAACAATACATGTACTTCCTTCTTGGATAGATCACTTGGCTGCTTTCATGTCTTATGTTTTTTCAACTGTTTTATTTGGCAGTTGTAAACGGTTCCTGTGAAAGTATTTCATTTTTTATTGTTTCTTTAATATTCCTTTCCTTCATTTCAGTATTTCTTGTGGTACTTGTGTCTCTTGCCTGTTGTCCTCCCAAACTTACGGATGTCACTGAGGAGAGGAGTGGCCTTAATAATACTTTGGTTTATTGGTCAGGTGAGTGTTAATTACTTCCTCTAATAATTCATTTGAGGCCATGAGTCCATAAGTGGGATTGAACCGAAACCTGCCTGAAATGATCCTTTGAGATGTTACTGACCAAATATTGTCATTTTTAGGGTTATTCCCAAATCCAATATGGCAGCCGTCTTGAAAAATACATTATAAATTTCCATTGGTTCCACTGAGCTGACAGTTGGTGGGGATGTTATGGAATGGAAGCAGACAAAATGTTATTTTCAGACCTCATTGAAAGCTCAATATGGCAGCCAATGGTGCCATTGAGCGGAAATATCATTGGAATGTGGAGCAACAGAAATGGGGAGTGGTTTTTTGACTTTACTGCTTAAATATGCTAATCTGATTTTAACAATTTAATAACCCTTCTTTCTACTGTCACAGCTGTTGTATAATATGTAGGTCTTTATGGGCCTCTTGTTTTGATATCTAATCTGCTTTGAGTATTTTGTGATAATCAGCCTACAAATCATTGCAATGAAAGGCAACATCAAGCATTTTTCTGCCAACACAACTACAGGAGTAAGCCATAGCAGGTTTTGTTGGTGAATAGGAAATATTTATCCTTACAGAACACCTTGTTTTATATGTATTCTCCTTGTAAATCTTGTTGCTGTTGTTGTTGTATAACTGCATTTTGAATTTGAATTAAGAAAACATGAAAGTTATGTATATGATGACTTAACATACCCTTATTTTCCTGTATGATTGAGTTTGATTGCCCATGTATGGTATATTGGGGGTTTTGGTTTCTGGGACAGGCAAAGAAACTACTCTTGGTTTATTTGGTATTTTTCAGGGCTTGTGGCTCCTTCCAGCATATGGCCTGGAGTTTGAAGGATTCAATATGTTCATGTATATTTGGTCAGCAGGAATATTTTTCTTCTTCATCAACATATACATAGTGACAGCTATATTGGACAATTATACGGCCAAGCCACACACAAAATCTCTATAACATACTAAGGACCATATTAGATAATTATACAGCTAAACCTTTCACAAAATCTCTGTCAAATAGAGACAGCCATGTTGGACAACTACATGTATACTGTTAATTTTCACACAAAATCTCTATGATATATAGGCAGCCATATCACACAATTATACAGAGCCTCAAAACCAACTCAGTGATAGAAACTATTTACAAATGATTTCAATGTGATTTAAAGATAGAGAGTAGTAATTGGTAATGAAATTTATTGGTCCTTTTTCAAAGGTCACCACCCAAATTCTTGTGTCCTGGACTTCGTCTGATGGACTCTATCCATCTCAACTGCCAAATCTAGATATTGGTTAATTACAGGTTTTCCGCCTCCTGGACTTGTCTTTTCACTAGGTGTTGTCTCAGTTATAAATACAAATTACATTTTCATTGCTTAATACTTACAGTGAAGGGACAGGGCTAGTTAGAAGACTATGAAACCTTGGCATCAAGTGATGGCAATTTATTGTGACACTATGTACTTCACAGCAATTCATTTTCAATAAAACAACGATTGATTAATTACTTTCCTTCAAAGTGTTTCAACAGTGTGACACATTCAACTATAATTAAGTCAAGACCTCTTGAGCAGTCACCATGAGGGTGTACAGGTAGAGAACTGTTCACTCAGGTACAGGCTAATTTAGTTTTTACCTGACTGATTTAGACAACAATGCTTATAAGAATATGATTATCTTCTATTCTAATTAATTGAAATGCCACACTAATTGAAGTGTCTACTGATCATCTATGAACAACTAATTCTGAAGTATAATGCTAAAATAGTGAAAACATGAACTATCTCTAAAATAAGAAAATGTCTTAATACTGCAATATATGATTCACTTAGAACTATTTTAATAAACATGTTTGAATAATAATTTTGTTTGTTGTGTTGAATTTTTTCAGAAGCTACACTATGTGGATGATTTGATATATTACTCAGCATCACCATCCCATGGTAAAATAAAATACTATTCACGGATGGAACAGTCCAAATTAAAGAAATATTATAACTACATTACATGTACATTCGATTTATCTTACATAATTAGCAAAATTATGTCTATGATATGTCACAACATACCCACAGTTATACGGCTGACTGTTTAAAAAGAAAATTGGGCTTTTCAGGAAATGTTTACTCAGTAACTTAGATCATCAAGTTCTCCTATTTAGGATATGTGTTGATATATATATATACCATACAGAATCTGAAGTAATTTATAAACATACTGTTTGACACAGATCAATAATATCAAATGAAAATGGACCCATGCACCACACCGGGACGACAAATACCGGTAGTGGTGAACGAGCCACACTTTGTATCTTTGTTGAATCTTTGGGAAATAAATCAATAAAAGACAGCTTAAGATACACGTTCATTTCACAGGAAATCTTCGTAATTTTTTTTCTTTAATTCTTAAATAAAAATAACCTGTAAAATCTTTAATTTTCGTGTCATGAAGTGTATTTTCCTAGATTCCATGTGGGAAAGGAGTGGGGGTTGGCTCTGTAGCCACAAATATATCTGACAACGAATCATTACACTTTTGATAAATGAAGAATATATATTACTTAATTATTGATGGAATTCTTCAGTTCTATTCTGTTGAACTGTAATACAGAATCAACATTGTGACGTACACATTTACTCTGTGGATAGTACTGGATACATTGTGACGTACACATTTACTCTGTGGATAGTACTGGATACATTGTGACGTACACATTTACTCTGTGGATAGTACTGGATACATTGCTAAACATGCACCTAGGTATACGCAGGGACATATACGTAAACACATGCTTTATAACAACCAACATTCGCTGGGGTCAATACTGGCAGTGTGAATGTTTGTAGGTATACGATATGTCTCGTTGTCGTAAATATTCATTCAAGCACGACGTTATAACTAAAAATAGAACGACACAGACGGGAGAACAACAAAGTATATAAGTCTGTGTGGAACAGCATCGTACGTGTATAAAACAGCAGGGGGAATGGTGTCTGTCGATTTTCTGCTGTCGGTGTTATGTATCTTCGACTGACCCGGACTGGAAGGGATTTTAGCTTTCTAGTGCTGCAGTACGTGATTCTAGCTTTAAAACAATCTCTCTGCGAAGACACGGTGGTTATTTTCAATCCGAGTCAGTGCTACTATAAACCTAGCTACCCTGTAGCCATGTATACACTCAAACAATGCCCAGTGGATGGTGGAAGTGAGCACGAGGAGGAGACTATGGACAGGTCAGAATATCTTCATAAAAATGGAAACGTCGAGATAGTGTATTCTAGGATCGAAGGAAATAACAAAAAACGTAAATATGAAACAGAAGACGTGTTGAAAAGATATATGCAAAGTCTTCTACTTGTTGCTGACGAGGCAGTGCCTATTGAGCGATATTTGTATAAAATGTTGGAGTATTACAAGGAACGAGCTGAAGTGAACCTCAAGACTCTGAATATCGTCGGGAGTACTGGGAACAAGTTGTATGTACCAGAACGTCAACCAGATGGATCGTATAATTTTGAAGTTGATGTTCTGTTTGAGAATCCAGTAGCAGGCATGAGTATACCCGTTATTGGAGACCAAAGTGCTGTCGTGGCTTGGTTTTCAGTCGATAGATTGGACAACTCTCTTCCATTGGGTAGTGTTGGTCTGCGGTTAAATCGCTTTGATGGTAAGTTCGGTTCCGAATTCGAAGAAAGTCAATGGTTTCACAAGCACGCTGAATCTGGCAAAATTCTTTTATCTTCTATGAAATACTGGGGTTCGGTAACCTCAAACCACAGATCAATTTTGGGTGAACGCGAGCTTCTTGTACATCCCTCGCCATTGCTGCAACCTCTTTTCAAGACATTTAAATCGGAGAAGAAAGCTCTTCTTCTTAATGGGCAGACATACGAATTCACCATACTTATGGACAAAGTGGCCGCTGTCAGAATTCCTTGGCCGGAAGAAGCTGCACCGTTTGAAACAAGGACGCGCAAATGGCCGGAGTCGGGTATCATTGATAAGGTCATCGGAGAAGGTTGTCATCTTGTTTATAATCCCCATAACCGAGGAGGGACATATTTCTTGGAGTGGAAGTACACCTTCTCGACGTCAGAACAAGAAATTGTTCTCAATTTTTCACCCTTTCAGAGATCGTTGTTTCTAATTATAAAACAGATGAAGCGTCTTTACTTGGACTACGGGACATCAGAGATTGGAGAACCTCTTGCAGGTTTGACAACGTATCACTTAAAGACGATCATGCTGTGGCTGAGTGAAAGGTTGGATCCGGAATTATGGGAAACATCTCCTCTTGACTGCCTCGTGCTGTTCTTTCGCGATCTAGAGAAATGTTTGGACACTGCCATTTGTCCACATTACTTTATTCCTGAAATTAACGTCATGCAAAGTGCTTGGAAACCAAAAATGCTACAACAATACGAACATGATTGGTTGGAGCAAAATGGATCTATGAGAGAGAAACTGTTAAAGACGGTCAGGAGCATAATTGCTAACCCCAATGTTTACCTAACGGACGCACTGCTTACGGCAGTCGATAGCAAACACATCGCGGAGGCTACAAAGGAGCCCGTTCGTAACAAAGATGACGATAAAACATATGTCGAACTAGATATTTTGGACCAAGCAATCGTCAGGATGAACGACCGGCAGGCTATGAACGAACTGAATCTTATGTAGGTACTAGTGTCTGTAAAGAACTTATCATTGTGAAATCCTCATCAGCTGTTATCGCGCGGGCTGTTTTACATCCTCCCGTTATAAATAATGCCAAAAATGGTTTACAAAAAATAAGTTTGACTATATTTCATCTTGTCTTATTTAATCATTTTTTAAAAAATATTTAGTTAAACATTGTTTATGCTATCCCGTCAGTCTACAAATTTGAGTTATAGCGCTTCACCGTGACGGAGCACTTTTTCGTCGATCTAAAAATACATTGTTAATGACGACAGGAAACGTGCATTTGGAGTCAGCGTTCCTTAATATAGAACATGTACGTCCGGAAAGTGATGTGTTTGTCGTTTATGCTGGGAAACGTATAAAGAAAGGCAAAATAAAAGATTAATTAATGGCCCGAATACTCCTTGATATTAGACCTTTTGTAATCTTATATTGAGCATTGAGTTGGCATTCTACAATTTTCCCCAACACCGTCTATGCCACTAGCACTAAAATGTAACTCAACGGCATTATCACAAAAGATGATAGGTCATGTTTTGGTCAGTGGTTGCCGTAATGCATACAAATGTGAACAATTAAGAACGCTTGCCACTAGAATTAATTTATTAAAAATGCTTATTGAAAACAAACAAAAACGACTAATATCATGATGGAAGTAACTGAGATCTCGCGTGCGACTCCGTGACTATTGGACTAACGTGGGAGTAATGTCTTACCGTCTGTACAATAGACACTGATGTAGGACTAACATGGGAATAACGTCTTATCGTCTGTACTATAGACACTGATGTAGGACTAACGTCTTACCGTCTGTACTATAGACACTGATGTAGGACTAACATGGGAGTAACGTCTTACCGTCTGTACTATAGACACTGATGTAGGACTAACGTCTTACCGTCTGTACTATAGACACTGATGTAGGACTGACACGGGAGTAACGTCTTACCGTCTGTACTGTCGACACTGATGTAGGACTAACGTCTTACCGTCTGTGCTATAGACACTGATGTAGGACTGGCAAGGGAGTAACGTCTTACCGTCTGTGCTTTAGACACTGATGTAGGACTGGCAAGGGAGTAACGTCTTACCGTCTGTGCTATAGACACTGATGTAGGACTAACACGGAAGTAATGTCTTACCGTCTGTACTATAGACACTGATGTAGGACTGACACGGGAGTAATGTCTTACCGTCTGTACTATAGACACTGATGTAGGACTAACACGGGAGTAACGTCTTACCGTCTGTACTATAGACACTGATGTCGGACTGACGCGGGAGTAACGTCTTACCGTCTGTACTAAAGACAATGATGTAGGACTGACGCGGGAGTAACGTCTTACCGTCTGTACTATAGACACTGATGTCGGACTGACGCGGGAGTAATGTCTTACCGTCTGTACTATAGACACTGATGTAGGACTGACACGGGAGTAACGTCTTACCGTCTGTGCTATAGACACTGTTGTAGGACTAACACAGGAGTAACGTCTTACCGTCTGTACTATAGACACTGATGTAGGACTAACGTCTTACCGTCTGTACTCTAGACACTGATGTAGGAATAACACGAGAGTAACGTCTTGCCGTCTGTACTATAGACACTGATGTAGGAATATCACGGGAGTAACGTCTTGCCGTCTGTACTATAGACACTGATGTAGGACTGACACGGGAGTAATGTCTTACCATCTGTACTATAGACACTGATGTAGGACTGACACGGGAGTAATGTCTTACCGTCTGTACTATAGACACTGATGTAGGACTAACACGGGAGTAACGTCTTACCGTCTGTACTATAGACACTGATGTCGGACTGACGCGGGAGTAACGTCTTACCGTCTGTACTAAAGACAATGATGTAGGACTGACGCGGGAGTAACGTCTTACCGTCTGTACTATAGACACTGATGTCGGACTGACGCGGGAGTAATGTCTTACCGTCTGTACTATAGACACTGATGTAGGACTGACACGGGAGTAACGTCTTACCGTCTGTGCTATAGACACTGATGTAGGACTAACACAGGAGTAACGTCTTACCGTCTGTACTATAGACACTGATGTAGGACTAACGTCTTACCGTCTGTACTCTAGACACTGATGTAGGACTAACACGGGAGTAACGTCTTGCCGTCTGTACTATAGACACTGATGTAGGAATATCACGGGAGTAACGTTTTACTGTCTGTACTATAGACACTGATGTAGGAATAACACGGGAGTAACGTCTTGCCGTCTGTACTATAGACACTGATGTAGGAATATCACGGGAGTAACGTCTTGCCGTCTGTACTATAGACACTGATGTAGGACTAACACGGGAGTAACGTCTTGCCGTCTGTACTATAGACACTGATGTAGGAATATCACGGGAGTAACGTTTTACTGTCTGTACTATAGACACTGATGTAGGAATATCACGGGAGTAACGTCTTACCGTCTGTACTATAGACACTGATGTAGGACTTACATGGGAGTAACGTCTTATCGTCTGTACTATAGACACTGATGCAGGAGCCATCGACACTTTAATCGTAAATTTAATATAAAAAGCATAAGCGCTTAACATTTCTGGTCCAATTTGTTATTTTTCGATATTGGCACACGCGTGTACCCGGTTTCCAAGTTACATCTGGATTAGATTCAGTTGCCTAAAAGTTGGTACATGTGTGCGCTGTGTGTCAACATTGCATTTAAAGCTAGTGAAACCCTCATCCTTTAGTGTATTTTACTTCAGGTAGCATCTTTGACATTCTGTCAAAAAAAAAATCCACCATACATATCCAACTGATTATGTTTTTCTGATAATTGGTATTTGGACATTGCTCATTGAGATTACCATTCCGAATTATTCGAGATGGAAAATTAATTTTTCCATTTTATTGTTGTCACATTTAGGTCCATACCTTTTTATTTGAAATAAATTGATTTCTTTTACTGATAAAAATATCGCTATATCAAACTTTAATGTATCTCCGATCATTGGATTATGTATCGTGTGCAATGGAAAAATGTGTTTTTGAAGTCGCTCAATGTACGATAAAAACACAGGTACATCATTTGCGACTCTTCAGCTCATACGTTAGTTCAAAGTTTTAAGGCAATGGTTTCAAATGTACTTTTTCTATCGAACGTTATTTGGCCAAATGCTGCGAATTAGCCAAGAGACGTTTCCAACTGACCCATAGATGTTGTAAAGCCCCCCTCCTAACAGCCTTGCGCCAGATTGATGAGAAATTTCCCTAGCATACATGTAATCAAGAGAACACCCAAGAATCTAAAGGAATAGTATCTATTGCTGAATCGGTAATGATTTGTCCAATCTATTACTAAAATTGCTAGATAGCATTAATTCTTGGACAGGACGGAAATAAAACATATTCCAGGTGTAAATGAACATGAATGTAGGAAACATGTAGTAGTGAAAGTCCATGAATTTGATGAAAATGAAAATAGAGGATCCCAGAATGTTCTTAGTGCAATCCATTTGATCTTTTCCTTTTTCTATTCTTTTTGCTCTCAACTGTATGAATTTTGAAAAGTCCTCTTAGTTACAGCAAGAGGAATCATTCCATTTATTTATTTATCATAATCAAAATCCAAGATGGTCACCTTTCAATCATTTTGTTTTCCTGATCAGTCCAAAAATCAAAAGGCTACAAGAGAAGAAGGGAAACTTACATATGAAATTTGAGCAAGATCCAGCTGGTGCTTTGTAAGAAATAGTGATGAAAATTTATCCAAATCAGAATCCAAGATGGCCACCTTTCAGTAATTTTGTTTTTCTGATCAGCCCAAAAAGCATCAGGGCATAACATAAGTGGGACCAACAAATGAAAGTTTGGAAGACCCATCAAGTACTTCTCCAAAAATAGGGATAACAATCTTTTATAGTCGAAATCAAATATTACTGCCAGTCAGCCACTTTGTTTTTCTGAACTTCTAAACTGTGATGAGAACCAGGAAATCTACAGAAGGGTAGTGTCAAGAAACACATATAAACGATAAATTATACTACGAATACTTAATCAACAAATAACTAAAGTAAGAAATTATGTACAAGACTGCTTTATTTCGGCTGCCATATTTTTATGCATCCAAAACCATTATGCAAATCTGAATGCACTTATAACAATAACAAGTTAGTTGTAGTAAACAAGGAGAAGATTTAGAGAGATCAACAACTTTTTTTTTCAAAAGTTACAAAATATCACATGTCTATGTAATATACACACAGGTATTCGTTCCTTAACCACTGAAACCTATATCCCAGCATAAGAAACAGCAAGAGATTTTATTGACAGACTTTTCAAATTTTGTTAGTATATATAAATACAAAGGAAATCCTTACATATACAGAAGGGTTATCATAATACATTTTCAGTCAGAATATTTGGTTTAATCTAAAAAAACTATGACTAAAGAATCACGTTATTACTACAGATTCTCTGTCTGAAATTTCATATGATATTTTTAGATTGCGGTTCTGAAGAAAAGTTTGCAATACAAATAAAGAAATAAATATATATTTTATCATAGACATACTAAAGTCCATGGTTTTATATATTTTCAATCTTTAAATATTACCTTAAATTGCATATATACATAGTTTTCTAAGTACATGGTATGTATGATTATCATACGAAAAACAATTACTCACAACAAGATCAAACTCACAAACGTTAATCATATCAGTCCTAAAGGGAAGACTGGTATTAGAATACAGTAATTAACTACTCAAGAATCTAGGATATTCAACTTGAAAATTAGCATGAATACAGTTAGCGGTATCATTTTGATGATAAAAATCCTTACTAATGGTAGAGGACAATTTTGGAAGCAAAAATTTTAAAGAGCGGAAAATCAATAGAATTTTATAATATTTTAGTTCAGTCTTCAAAACTCTTCAAAAGTGAATACTTATATACTTTGTTTACAGAAAATAAGATACAGTTTTTAAGTACTAAAACAAAATGGGGCAAACAAATGAAGAGTACAACACTATCAATCCTAATACAATAACAAGATCAATCTGTGTATTTGATATTTCTTTTTTTATTTGTTTGGTTTTTTTTTTTTTTTTTGACATTTCAGAAACCTGTCCTATATTCTGAGCTGTTTATGACTTATTGCAATAGAATATTATTTGTGCAAAATTTTACATAAAGTAAGACAATATTCTTTTGTAAAAACTCGAGGGATCATTTAGCAGATTAAGGCTTTGCAAGAAATAAGATAATTTTCTGTGCTGAATAATGTCATTGTCACAACTCAGAATACAAAATCTGAGCAATATCAACAATATAATTCATAAGTACAAGTTCATCTATCAAAATGAATATACCATATTTGATCAATAAGTACACTATTTGCTAACATAAACACAAGGGGTATATTTACACCTATTTCTTTGAAAAAAGTTTCCAGGTGAAACTAACATGACAAAAAACTATAAAAAAATGAAAAAAAAAATCTTAATATGGAATCAAAAGGGTCCATGTAGCTTCTGGGTAAATTGGAGACAAATGGTTAAAATTGTCGACTTTGATTGGAGAAGTAACACAACCTTTTTCATGGCTTTAGTTCACCCATACTCTTACCCAAAGAATATAAATGTATGGGTGCACTTACAGGGAAAGTGTACTTATTAGGTCGAATATGGTAATCAAATCACTAACATTGATGTTGCAAGGCAAAGCATGTCATCAACCTCTGCATTATATAAATTCTTAGTAATATCTTATAATGGAATTTCAAAAAAATATTTCTCTCAAGCACCACAGTGTTTTTAAATATCAGGTATGTACATATATATACAAATCAGGTATATAAACATAAGATATACAAATAACATATATAAGTATGACCCAAGAATCTATCTTCATGGATAAATATAGTTATAGTGTACACATGAATAAACACCAGCCCCTGGATTATGACTGGATCTTAAATTTAAAGCTTTTTTTCCAATTCTGATAAAATATCAATATTTCTTACACAAATCAGTCTAAATCTGATGAATTTGTGTACAGTTGCTTTACATCCTTAGTAATTGACAGGACCATTTAAAGATAAGCCAGGTTTAGGTGGTGGAAGAAAGTCCAGAGTTCCTGGAGAAAAAACCACCAACCTGCAACCAGTAACTAGGGATTACTGCGCACAGGGCAGGAACTATGTGGGGGGCCACTGATAAAAATTGCCTGATGCCTTCACCACTTAAGCACCTAAATTTGATGAAATACTTATTGATTACAAATATTTGCAACAGTAGAATCACATTTTGATTCCGAATTTTAACATTGATAAGCACTCAAATCTAAGCAGAAGATTTTTTTTATGATATAGAGTCCAGGTATTTGTTTATTTCTCTCTTCTTAATGAATATATACTTGTATGGTATATCTTATATAACAACAACAACAACAACAACACAATAGTAAAGAATATCTGGCTTGCATAATATAGCAGTCATCTGCTTCATTCATTTGGAACTTGGGTAATATAGTTAGTTAGCGAAAAATCTGTATATATCTATCTTTATAAGTAATCACATGATATGTTATAACAAGAGATCCCAGAGGGATCTTGGCGCCCACCATTTGAGGATCTGTTTTCAGTTCTTGATGATTTGTTTATTTTTTTTTGTGTGTTACAGGTGTTGTAAATGTTCATGAACTGGTCTTCATTGAATGTACTCAATGATGGCACATGATATTTTTATTAAGCATCTATTAGCAAATATCATTTGAAAAAGATCCCAAAGTATTATAAGATAGCAGTCAGTTACAGGTGGATAATGGACAATATGCTTGTGCTGTATTACTGTCGACATCCAAGATGGCTGCCTGTGGGCCACCTTGATTTCAAATCAGTCCAAAAAAGGTACAATGCACAACTAGGGACCAAGGGAAACCAATATCTATGAAATATCAGAAGGATCCATCCAGTACTTCCTCAGATATAGCAGTAACAAGATTTTACTCTCAAAATCCAAGATGGCTGCCTGTCAGCCATCTTGATTTCGGATCAGTCCAAAAAGGTATAATGCACAACTTGGAACCAAAGGGAACCTGCATATGAAATTTGAGAAAGATCCATCCAGTACTTTTCAAGAAATAGCAGTAACAAACTTTTACATTCAAAATCCAAGATGGCCACCTGTCTGCCATCTTGATTTCGAATCAGTCAAAAAAAGGTACAATGCACAACTAGGGACCAAGGGGAACCTGCATATGGAATTTGAGAAAGATCCATCCAGTACTTTCCAAGTAATAGCAGTAACAAAGTTTTACATCCAAAATCCAAGATGGCCACCTGTTGGCCATCTTGAATGCGAATCAGTTCAAAAAAGGTACAATGCACAACTAGGGACCAAGGGGAATCTGCATATGAAATTTGAGAAAGATCCATCCAGTACTTTTCCAGAAATAGCGGTAACAAGAATTGTTTACGGATGGACGGACGGACGACGGACCACGGACGCAGGGCGATTTGAATAACCCAAAATCTATTTGAATAGATGGTGGGCTAAAAAGACTAGAGTCAGGTCTTACAAACAGAGTAGCTTCGAAAGTCATCACCATCAGATTTCTTTAAGTGAAACCTGAAATTGTTCAGGAATTCAAAACAATAGTAATAAGTAGATTTATACAAAACTTTTACAGACAGATAGAAATCATGAATCAGAATGGCTTTACTGTGTATGTGGGTTTTCTTTAGGTAGAAATAAGGATGTTAGTCACTTAGTTGGCTTTTACAGACAGGTAGAAGTACGAAGTATGCAGCTGGTATTTACAACAGGTAGAAATTTATAGAATGTAATTACTTAATGTAATTAGGTGCCTGTTATGACAAGTAGAATTATGTAAAATTACAATGAAGACACAAATTCATCATGGAAATATTAGGATAAAGGTTCTGCAGGATTTAGATATTGCTTTTCAGTCAAAATTTTAAACTTTTTTTTCAGAATTTCAGACACTACTGAACAAGCATACTTTCATTAATAAATGAAATAAAAATTTTATCTTGATATACTAATACAACTGTTCCTTTCCTTTATTACTGCACATTACGGGCAGTGTCACACAAAACTGACTTATATTCATACAATCAATATATAATGTGTATGTATATATATATCAACATAACAACAGCAACAAAATTAGTTTTGGTGCTTGCTTGTTTAAAGAATCAATTTACTAAAGGTCTAAAATGCAATCAAAACAAAGATTTTTTTTGCACAGTGTGAAATTTTGGTCCCAAATTCCATCAAAGCTCAACACATTATTGAATTTTGAAAAACAGGTGTTTCTTTTTCAGTATCCAAATATTCAGCCATGACATTTTTTTCTGATAGTTTTGATCTAAAAATCAGATCTCCAAAAAAACTTATATCAATGCTTGCACAATTTCGTTTGATATTAATATAAAGCATTTGTTATATATAGTCTTCATGAAAATTGAAATATTTTTAGATGCTCTAATTTATGCCATTTTCAATTACGTGTAGTTACCATGGCAACAAAAATTGGGGGAGAAAAAACATATATACTTTTTCAAAATAAAAAGAAATCTCCAAGGTCTGAAAGTTCCAATTAAATGTCCTGAATTTTGATGGATGATTTAGGGAGTGAAGGAGTAATCCAAATCACATACAATCGTTCACACTGATATGGAACAACAAGCAAATTAAAATCAGACCTCTTGTTTCATATATGTAACCAGTTACAGAAAATGCCGGGAAATTATGAGATCTGATTTCAATTTGATTGAGGGATATGTATGGAAGTTTTCACATGTGATGTATAACAGTTGGAATGACACGTAGCATTGGAATTATAAAACGGTACCGTAGAAGCCAGATTATTTTTAATCACTGGTCCATGGCAAAGCTTCCAGTAAAGCATTCACACTCACAAAGGAATATATCAGTCAATTTGTTAAAAAAATCTTCACAAACAAGAACATGTGAACATGGTGAGCAACAATGTACAATTTCAACTATTTTTACAGTATATATTCTGTGATAAGCCCAAGGATATGGACTTATCATCAGACAAACAAATTTTTTTATTAGATTTTCAACTCAACTGTAATAAGTATGGGTAGCCTTATTACCAGACATGGGTTTAGTGCCAGAAAAAAAGTTTACATAAAGGAGTAATTAAACCAGAAATGAGAAACTGTATGTATAACATGATAATTACAGAATTTAATGAAAAAAGGATTACATCAAAGTGTCAAATAAAACTGCCACCAAATTTCAAAAAAAAAAAAAAAAAAATCCAAAAATGAGCTTACATCAAAATGAATTTTAGAAAACATGATTGCAATAATTATTGTAATGTATTTTAATATGTCAGCAATGTTGTCAGTGATTTTCAGGCAGAAACTAAAAAATTCCACAACAAACAAAAAATCATGAGTACAAAATGTATCTTCATATGGCAATGGTCAATTAAAGACTTTTCTAATCATCATTTACATATATAAATATTTCAAGAAAATTGGAGAAAAAACATACTGCATATTATTTTCAAATAAACATGTTTTCTGTACAATTTGAAGTATTTTATATTATGTACATATCACAATTTACATGAATGGATAAAGACATTCTGATTAACAGTCTACAACACTGATGTACTTAAGATTTGTAGTTAATTCTAAATAAGCCTCTCATTATTAAGTGGTGCTCTTTATAAAGTTGAATTTTAAAATATGTATGGAAAAAAAATGAGTTGGTGTTTTATTCTTTTATATACATGTTTATGAGTTGATGAGACATCAGTAAAAATGTCTTTTAATCAAAAAGTCATGTTCAGTTTTACTACGAATGAAATCCCTATTACTGTGAATATTTATTACTAGCAGAGCCTAGATTTCATCATTATTCAAGCAGAACCTAGACTTTGTTATCATTCAAGTGGAACCTTTACGTCAACATCATTCAAGCTAAACCTAGATTGCATCATCATTCAAGCGCATGCGCCTCTGTGCAGCCTGAAAGGCCAGTTCTCGCTGTCTAGCTCTGTTATCTGATTGACCAGAATTGTTGTTCTGTAATAGAGAGCACTCCTGATTCTCATCAGAATCTGAAGATGAAAGGTCTTCATGTTGTTTTGGTTTGCACTTCTCCAAGTAACGTCTGCCAAAGAAATAAAAACACAACTAAACATCAAATTCTCCGAAAATACAAGACTTTTTTTTGGCTTATTTTTGCATTTGTAACGAACATTTTAAGGAAATGCAGTAGTCAGGTCATTATTCATTTAAATGCCTTCACTGGTGTTTGAACACAGGACTCATGTCTAACTTTAATTTACATGGGTAACAATGATGCTTATGAGGTATATTAAGAATTTCTGTAAACACCTCCAGGGTCCCTAAATGGGTGCAAATGTAACAGAGGTCATTATTTATTCCACTATGGATCAAATCTGTGACTTCACAGTCTTACACTCAACTGATCAAGCTAAAGATAAAATCTTATAAAGTAATGATGACCTCGGCCCTAAAATTTGTGTGTCTTCAAACCTGACCATTGTAAAAATGCCTTAAATGAAATTGTAAATGTGACTGTATAAACTTCACTAAAAGAACAAGACTAACCTTTGCCTTCAAAGTCTGATATGCAAACTCACTTTGATCTATTCTTGTTGTTTATATTTATTAAGATTTATCAAAACATAATTAGATATAGGTGAAACACTACACATATCTTATAGAAGAAAAAAATGGTGTTAAAACTACAGCATTACAATTATGTTCCATCATGAAATAAACAGCTTACCGTCTTGCCTGTTCCAACATGGAGTTCTTCCGATCTTGCAACATCACCTCCCGTTCATTGGCTGACTTCGAGAACCTACTACCAGTAGGAGCAGGCACCTCATCCCTTCTGTAAAGGTACTGGGGCTGAGTTTGAGCACTAGGAGGATCTACAGTGCTGTAACTACTTAGAGGGTCAGGAGAGGCATAACTGCTTTGTGGATCGGGAATACTGTACTGATCATCCTGTTGATGAGCAGTGGTCGCAGCCTCAATTTCCATAACACTGGACCGAGATATGGTGGTAGGAAGAGTCAGCTGCTGTTAATATCAAAATGTATATCTTGCACATCTTTTAAGTAACATTAATGAGAACCCAATTCCACAGAAATTCTGAATAGATTTCATATTTCTGTGAATGTAATTGAAGAGTCACAGAATACTGTATACGCGGAAACTTTCCCCACGGATTACTAGTAAACTTTTGCCTGTTTCATCCTATTGCAAATAGGTCAAAGATATTATTTGGACTAAAGTTTGATTTTAAAGCAGAAAAATATGTTTTTAAGTATTTAAGGGCTAAAAACAACTCTAGGTGAATATTTCCTTGTTTATTTGAGACTCATCGTACTGGAACAAGAAAGTTATATACATAGGTGAAAAGATCACAAGACACTCACAGAAGCAGCAGGGTCGTCTGTTTGGGGATTTTCTGCATCTCCAAGGGCTGCTCTTGTCACCAAAGTACTGGGCTGAAATATTTGTGAACTCAAATCATGACAAAATAAACAGGAAAAAGGACAAAAGATACACTGCACCAATGCCAGTGTAAATTATGTGACTTCTTTGTAAAAAGTAATATAGGTCTTGACCTTGAACTTTAAACCTCGACACATGAACTCTTTTTAATCCATTCTGATCAAAGTCCCCAATAGAAATACTGTCACTAGGGATACTTTCAGTGCAGAACAGAATTTGGTTCCAAATAAATACGACAACTGTAACATTTAATCCCTAGCATATAAAATAATGGGGGATAAAAATTACAGAATATTCAAGCTAATACATCAAACATTTATAACTTTGGTGGGGCAGGATACAAGACAATGAGATACAATGGAATTAAGGAGCTGTAACAAAGCAAAGTATGAAACCTGATTTTAATATGTCATAATGTTAACTCCATATTAGTTGGTTAGAAGTTATCATATACAAAATTTGGCAACTATTCATAAGAGAAAGAGAATTGGACAAGGCAATCAGAGACAAACATTCAGACATATAATATAATATTGAGTCAAATCAGTCATCACTAGATCTATTTATTTCGACTGCCAAGGAAACTTACCAAGGGAGCTTGCACACGTCCTTCCAGGATATTCTCTATTGTGAAGTCAACAGACCTCGTCTGTCTCAGATCATCCATGATAACATTCAGAGGTATATGAGGGAAAACCGTCTCCACCTGTCTTGCCTAGAATTCATTTAACATTGAATTATCCATGCATTGATTACCTGCAAACTGTTCTAAACAATCAATGGTAAATATTCAGTGTATCATGTTTAAATTATAGCTGTCAAGGATCACAGGACCACAAATTGACTTTAATGAAGTCTCACCAAATATCAACCATAGATTACATTTTCTATTCTTTTGAAAATTTCCTTTTAGACAAAAGATTTAAAACGATAGTTTATTGCATCTATTTGTTTTAGCTGTGATTGGCACTTCTGTTTACCATCATATATATTTTCAAACAACAGTAGTGGATAAGGCACAATGTTTATCTATATAACCGCCAGTAAGAATTCAAGGTATACACCTTTCAGAATTAGTTTTTCCCCAGAAACTACATTGTCGAGACCATTCATTAATAATTAATTCATATAAATTATGGATGTAATTCCAGAATCATATTCATGTCCCACTTCCATCTTCAGAAATGAGTGGAAGACACAGAGCTCCTCCCACAGCTCCTGACTATGATAAACGTTAGTTTCAGCAGCATTTTATTTCATTTCATACATACAGATATACTAAAAGTATTGTTTCTCTCAATTTGTGCTCTGATGATTGAAATTTTATGTTCTGACTTGCTTTATTTTCTAAAGGAATACAAAAAGAGCTAAGATAAAACATTTTTAAATGTTGTACACTTTGAAGTGCTTACCATGCTGTCCAGCTGAGAGGTCTGGACTGGTGGAGACTGCTGACCTTGGGGCAGTAGCTGTGTGTGGGTCACCTCAACCGAAAAACTGGGGAACCAACTCACATATCTCGACCCTATCACATACATACAAAAAGTTGTGAAGATACAGATGAGACAATCTTGTCTGACGCAAGTACATAAGGATTTTCGAAAAGTATCTTCAAATCTGATGACATGAGGAATGATAATTTTTGTATGTGCTATCTAATCTGAAAAAATGGTTGGTATGAGGTCATTACTTAAAGAGCAACAAGACAATAATAGCTTTTTCTTTAATATACAATCAGACTTGAAGAAATGGTTATTTAATGAGATAAAAATTTAAAAAGACGAAAGCTACATTTTCTGCATGTACAATAAAATTTGTAGAAATTTTTATTTAACAATAGATTAAGTTCTTAAGATGAAAAAATTACATTTTATGCAATAAAATACAAAACAATTTGGATAAGTTCAAAATCTAAAGAGATTTCAAGAAATTGTTGGTTATCAAAATTAAAATTGAAAGCGAAGAGAACAAGATGTGTTTTGTTTGTACCATCAAAGTGAAAGAAGTGATTGGTTAAGGCACGGTTATTGGGCTGTCCTGGAGGAGGTAGGTTGATGGGGGCATCACCCCGCTCATCAGGAACATGTTCCCGCGGCTGTTCCTGTGGATTGTCATTGAGTGTTGTCCTACAAGTTGGACAGGATGTGTCTTGTTCTAGCCAAGAAAGGAGGCAGCCACTGTCACAACAAATGATCAATCTCACTTTTTAGTTTTATTCATTAAATAAGATAATGTAGATGATATTTTTTTTGTACTAATAAAACACCACTTCTTTTCTCTAGATCACTAAGAGTTGATTTTTTTTCACATGCTGCATTTACATTTTATTACATATTTTAAAAAGATTCTTATCTCCTGTCATATTGACAAAATGCATTTGGCTCATGTTCATACTTGTGAAAGAGATGGTCACATGGAAGTTTGCGGGCAGTTTCCATAGGCTCCCAACATATGGCACAGTTGTCATTGTTCTCTTTCAAATCATCAGTTGTAGCCATTGAGAATCTGTAAAAAAAAAACTTTCAAGTTAAAGAAATATGGATATTTTGACCAGCAAATATCAATTGACATAGCCTATAGTCAGCAACATGACAGTGGGTCATTCTACAGATAACTTAAAAAGGCTGTGGAAAAAGGTTTCAAATAAAGATATTCACACAGCATTTCAGAAGATGTTTATCTTCAACACAAACGATGATTGCAAACTGTATTTTTGAGAGCTTTCTGAAACAACCGTTTCTTTTATGAAGCAAAGAGTGTAAATGACCGAGTCTTGATGACCGTTCACTTATTGATGTATAGAAGAAAGTGTTAAGTCAGCTGTTAAATTGTGACACCTTTTCGTCCCAATAACATTCTTATACTGGCGGAAATCTGTGGGTTGTTGATGTTTCATTTATTCCTTCTCTTGCTATACCTATGCCAAACCGATGAATCTCATTCAAACAGCACTATATGCCACAAAACTTACCACTGTATCATTGGTAATGTTGAAATTTTCAAAGGTAAAATTGCATAAAAAAATTAGTTCCAGAAAATTAGCAGAAGGTTGATACAGATCAAAGCATGAATGACACTTATCTTGAAAATTACTGATAGGTAGACCAAGCATGTTTCACCTTGTATTTTACGTTCTAAAATCGACTGTAGGTTATTTCTAAATTTCCTTCTCTCAAAAGTGCTGTAAAAGATGTACGATATACAGGTACTAATATGACACTTGATAGTTGACTTTACTTTCATCTTGATCAGATTTTGAACAGTTCTCAAGGTAAACAAAGGTATGATCAAGATCTCTCAGTAGTATAGTTTTACAGAGATCAAAAGGAGCATGATTGACACACAGGCATTACAAATGTGTCTAGAATCTAAAACTGTCTGCCCTTCCCAATAGACATTTAGTTTGTGTTTGCTTTATTGACAAGTCACTAGAAGTCAACAGTTGATGACATTTTGGGTAATCAAATATCATGGCGTGTTACCTAGCCTCCATGTTTTTTACAACTTTTCGGTAGTTCTTGTGTCTTCTGACTCTGCGCTGGAATTCATAGAATAGGTAACGGAGCTGCATACAGATCACAAGACTTGCCATGCTTAGGAAAAAGTTACCCCAAAGCTGAAAAAATAAACATTGAAAACACTGCATATCTTGTTCTGGCATCAGAGCAATAAAAAAGCATTTGTTGGCACTTCTAAAGACTTTTAAAAATAGATAAAGAGATGGGTGAGTATTTTTGCAAACATGATATTTGAAGCTTATTTTAAACTTGTTTTTCAATATCATGAACATCTAATGATAAACTTAGCTTACATACATTACTGAACTGCAAAATAAGCATAGCATAAAACCTTTAACACATACCAGCATATGTAGGTGATGTGCGAAATCCACAGAGAGAACCGAGAGTTCGAACACAAGTTCTGCATAGTAGATATAGATTGTCCTGTTCTCCCATACACCCTCCATATTCATGTCCACCAGATGTATCACATATCTGAAGTCAAATATTAAATACATGTTGCACACCTAGAGTTTTCTTTTATATATTAGTCACAGACAGAATTATTTGTTTACATCAAAATATACAAAGCAAGCAATATTCTCACACTCTATAATAGCAAGATCACATGTAAGAAAAAATGTATATCACCTTTAAAATACCAAATGAATTCAGATAAGAACATTAAATAAAGAAACAGTATTGATTGATTTTACAATTATTCTGACACCTAACAAGAAATACAGAAAACATACCGAAGAATAACGTAGAGAGTCCGAAAGCCTAGGATCAAGCACTGCAAGATATAATGCAAGAAACATTTTTAATTTGTAAATAAATAAATAAATATGTCTTCTTTTTGGAAAATTCTTGTTATTATAAGGTATTGATTGTGCTTCTATTAAATATTCAAAAAAACTTAACAAAAGAATTAGAAAATAAAAACAACATGAGCAGGCTTGGGGTTCACATAATTATATCCCTACCTCTGGATCATGAAGTGATCAACTTTAACCTTGATAAATAATCACCAAATTTCAATCAGGTGTAGACCTTTGTGGTATGATGTTTTTGTATGTGTATGAACCAAATCTCTGTTCAGGGGTTCATGAGATATCTCGTACACAAGGTTATCATGGATGCATGTACAAAAGCACACATTCAAACAAACAAAATTATTACTTTTTATCCCTTAAGTAGGTGCAAAGTAAATCTATAGGATAGGGTGGGCTAATTGTTGAATATATCTTACTTCTGCTGCCATAAAGGCTAAGATTGTGAATCCAGCATACATGCCAACATAGATACAGATCACCACAAGGACGGCACTACACAGTAACACCGCACTCAGGAGGGAGATCAACTTCAAATGGAACCATCGAGGTGTTGCTGGAGAGAATGATACCTGAAAAAAATAATTTCATACAAACATAACTGGGAAGCATTTTATAAACATTTGAAAATTTTTTAATTGCGTTATGTAAATCATTATATAACTGGTCTGTCTGCCAAACGATTACTGGATGAGCAAATTTATTTGGTTAGTTCATCTATGGTTTATATGTGTTCATGTTTTTCTGCAACACGAAATGTTATATGAAGAAAACCTATCTTCAAAACTTTAAAACTAAATGTTAACAAACCCCGTTTAAAAATATATGGCTGTCCTTTTAACAGACTGTGCCAGAATCAAGAGAGGATTAACAGAATGTGACATACATATTCAAACCGGTCCTTGGACAGCTGGATTAGGAGATGAAAAAAGCCAAGAATGGTAAACCAAGCCACCCAGTTCACCACTTCATCCATTGTCTGAACATTCATCACCCCGAAAATGAAGATGAATTTGTAGAACAGGAAGTTCCATATTCGATCTTTCAAATGCTGCAAGGAAATCAAAAATACCATTTTCATCTAAATCAGATAAGTTTTAATGAAGTTTGTGTTAAACAAGATGAAAAGAAAAAAAAAAAAAAATCTTGCACATATTGAATCATGGTTATCCAGATCGGCATAAATTTAGATAAAGAATCTGAACAATGAAGCTAAAACACAACACATAAGTCTGAGGTGTAATTGCAACTAGTTGTTATAATCATTTGCCAGATATTTTGACTGAAGTTATTTTCGCCCTTTTGTACCACTATACATGAATTTGCCTCATCATCCTTTTACTTTCCGAGGATGACAAAAAGGGGTTCTTTAAGTGTAACAAATTTTATCCTCTATCTTAAATCTTCCCAACCCTGTTCATGGATGAAAAGGTTGTCAATTTCATATAACTAACTTAGTGTTTATGTATATATATATATATTTGTATAAATAACAAGTCCCTTTTCATTTTCAAATATTATAATTTAGAATTACTTATCATTCAGAATCTGTCCAAGCATTACATTCCTATGGTGGTTACAAGTTAACATCTTTGATAGCCAAGAATTAGTTACAATATCCCTATTTCAAGTTCTAGGAATAGGATTAGCAGATAAATTTACAACCTTTATAATGCAAAGATAACCGATACAGAATTCAGATATGATAATGCAACAACACTTAACCATCAAAAGTGTTACTTGCAACACAGTAATTGCAAATATAATTATCTAAGTAGTACTTACCTGCCTCTCACTGACCCTTAGGTCACCAAATACTTGTTTCTGTATTGCTTTCCCCAATAAAATCAAACAGCAATAGGCAGTATTGACCAGTGTCTGAAATCAGAAATCAAATTGTCAGTTGAAAGCGTATAAAGGTGTATAAACAAAAACAGAGCAATAGACAAAGTTTGTAATGACCCTTGGCATTTTGATTACTCAGAAGTTGCTCATCTCATCACTGCCTAATATTAGTGTATGTGAGCTAAAACAATTTCAACGTGTGCTTTTGATTTTCCTTGTGTGAAGTTATATATTCACGTTTCTCTAGTGTATACAACCATTACAACAAGCATATCCAGTTAATTGATAGGTGAATAAAACCACTAACACGTGTTATTTATAGTTATTCCTGGAACATTCATAATACATATAACTTAGTTATTGTTATATTCGGTAGTAGTTTAGCTGCAAAAGCTTATGTACCGACTAATAACTAACTTAATCGATTAATGGGTAGGATAATGACACAGACTATATTCTGAATGTAGTGTTATCATGCTCTTACTACAATACATTATTGAGATTAAAATTATTCAATTGTTCATTTATTTACCCAAATACACCATCCTTCTGTGGTTAGAACATGGAAAATGTTCAATCCGAGATTATCATAAGGCAACGTAAAGTTCATTAAGTCCTCTACAGGTTCAATACTCGAAGCCTCCCCTCCATCGACTGGGGTAGGTCCCACGTCATCCTTGGTATCGGGGACATCAACAGAGGCTGCTGTCACAACTTTGGAAAATTCCTCAACACTGGTAACAACTTGATACGCATAGAACACCGAAAAAGACAACAAAATTGCAGATATTGCCGAGTATGTCTGAAGACTTGGCAATGGAAGCCGCTCAAGATACACCACCGGCATCTTATTATGTTATTGACGACTGTCTTCTCATCAGTTCCTTGTGTGAATCCTGTCAAACAACTACCGAGTGATCGCTTCCAGGCAATTTCGACATTATTTTGGTTCCAGATAAAGCTGCCTTTATTAGTTTCGTATTTCTATTGGGTATTGATTGACCAACTCTCATGGACAATGAATGAAGTTTAAAATCGACAAAAAAATACTTACATATTTGACATCAATATATGCTTGAAACGCCGTTCAACCTTGAAGTTTTGTTTATATATATATATTTTTATTTTGTCAGTTTCGAATTAAAAAAAACAATGCGGATATATAATTAAAATCGTTAGAGTAAAGTGATTTCAATCTTGTATTATTATGTACAGTGAACATTTTCATATCCTATTTTAAAAGTTACAGTAATTCATGATAATGGTTAAATCATTAAATTTTGTATCATTTAAAAGGTAAAATAAAAAAAAATCGAAATTGCCTCAGCAAATTTTGGAGCCTGGTTGCCTGAAGTCTCGATGACAGTTGCGCGCGCAACAAGCGAAACGCACAGTAACTTACCACAAGCACAGACTGTTTTTGTTATGGTGCATTCCTAGTTTCAATTGCAAAAATGGAGAAGGTCATTATTGGTGAGTAAATTAGATTAAAGGATGGTACTTTTAACACAAAAACATATAATATGTAAATGTGTAGAAGTGCTGTTATGTTAGTAGTAAGTTAAAAATCACAGGTAAATACACCGGCAAATTAGTGGTCAAAACCCGCTGTCGGACCCTTCGACATGTTTTTTAGTGATCACGCAATTCATGGTAAAATTTCACCATACATGACACTGAAATATTGAGATGTTCGTTTTACTGTTTTCAGACATGACAACCTAACTACTATATAACGTGGTTTTAAATACATGTACCGGTATGTAAATTATTTAATATTGAAGTCCCAGTGAACTGAAAATAAAATCTTATTTATTTATTTATTTATAATGTACAGTAAAGATAAATATTAAAGGATGGAAAAGTTATAAAACATCAGAGACACTTTATTTGAATAATGAATAAATACTATCTCTCCTCTCAAATTCCTTACCGTTTTTTTTTTTATATTTTAATAGCCTAAAGAATCTCTTGGTCATGTGCATGTACACTGTAACATGTTTTTTACAGCTGGTGGGACTGGCTTGGTGGGACATCACTTGAAGAAATTACTCATAGACAATGGACACAAAGTGGTGTTAGTATCCAGACGACCTGGCAAGGACACTCAAACTTGGGTAAATAGTTTAAAAGTCCACCTCCTTCCAATATTTCACAAGTAACCCTGTGTGGGTCCCTGAGCTCTTGATAGGATAAATAATTAAATGTGGTATTTAATCCATTTATATTAACACTGTCATGTAATTGTTCAGAATTGAAAATATGGAATATCCTACAACAAGTTTAGGGGTTAATCAATTACTCTTGGCTTAAATTAGGCTTATTATAAGACTGGGATTGGTGAATAATAGTATGGTAATGACATAATAATTGCACAAGAATGTAGCATTATCATCAAATTGTTATACAGTAATTTTATCTTGTATTACTAGTAGGTGATGACGATGATATGAATTTATTAAAGTAAATGGTAATAGTATTGTTATCAACTGCTGCACTTGCGTAACATCTCATTGTGTATTGTTTTTGTCAAAACCTTGACAATTAAAAATCAAGCAAAACAATAAAAAAAATGTGTGAAGATAAAAGGAATTTTATCAGTAAAGTAATATTTATTGCTAGTATGTAATATATTTTCTACTTGTCAGAATGACTTGGAACGTTTTGGCATTCAAGATGATGTAACAGCAGTAGTAAATGTAGCAGGAGAAAACATACTCAACCCATTGAAGAGGTATGAACGTTTCGTTACCTTCCCAGATGGTAATAAGTGCTATAGTCCAATTTCACAAAAAAAATATTTTTACCTTTCACCATCTTGTAACCTTCAATCACAACTACTTTATAGTATAATAGATCTAAATTTTCTGTAACAACTTTGAAAAATAACATTCAGATGCCAGAAGTGAAGACTTTTTTTTGTCATTTGATAATCATTTTTAGCGCCATCAAATTTTTGTGCTTTTTATCAGGTCATCAGACAAAGTTCTGTATAGAATTGGCACTAAAGGGTCAGAATAGCTGGGTCAGTTTGAATGTTGTGCATAGCCTCATGCAGTCTAATTTGGAGTTTGATGCTCCCTAAACATGGTGGTTCCTATTTCTCAGGAAACTGAGAAATGGACTGATCTGTGCTGACGTGGTTGTGTCCATGGGCAAGATATTTTACCCATATTGATCAGGACGGTATGTGACAGATCTCTTGTATGTTGTTCATTAAGGTAACGATTATCTACTACAAGAAGGTCCCACCTCAAAATGACTTGACTGTTCATAGAGGAGGATAAACTTTAAAATTATCTGTGTATACTGTAATTTTTCTGTCAGTGATGTATATGGACCCCAGAATTTAGGTGTTATTTTCTATGTAGATGGACCCCAGAATTTAGGTGTTATTTTCTATGTAGATGGACCCCAGAGTTTATGGAGGCAGTGAGATCAAGTAGGATAGACACCTCCAAAAAACTAGCTTCCTACATTGCAAAGTCCAAATCTCCACCTAAAGTATTTGCATCCATATCTGGAGTGGGTAAGTGTGACTTACCTTCAGCTTTCTCAGAACAAGATGTTTGTATTACCATTGTTTATATATGATGTCATGTTCAACACACATACCTATCATTAAAGTACTACCGTAAATATTGTCAAGGCAAAATGTTGTCATATATTGCTATTGAAAATGATGGAGCAATTTGTAAAAAGAAAAGATAAAAATGTTGGTACCTGTGAGTGCTTTCGTCTGTATGTTAAGTTGAAATGAATGTGAAAGTAAAAAAACATAAAAAAGTTTTTATTTTATCTGTATCATAAATTCAATAATGAAAACCCAGTAACATTGTGTACTTTTTGTGGTAACCATTTACAATTTGTTTTACTGTAGCTGGCTATAAACCAAGCCCCACTGAAGTTTACACTGAGGACAGCCCTGTACAAGACTTTGACTTCCTTTCCAAACTCGTCATTGACTGGGAAGCTGCTTCCAGATTACCAGAATGTGTTAAAACACGCCAGTTTACAGTACGATCAGGTGTGTATCCTCTTGCATTAGGTTTTTCTTGGTGGTGATTGTACAGATCTACTCGGGTGTCGTTTTGATTTTACCATATCTGATCAGGGGATGTAATGATAGTGAATTATACTTTGATATTTCTTTGAGTACTAGGAAATTGATAGGCTACACTTTAAAATTTGTAAAACAAGAAGGAGATGATATCTTTAATTACTGTTATGTTAAGTAAAATACACACTTATCATATTAGCTGCAGTATTACTTGTTGTGACTTTAGGAAATATCGTAATATTTTTGCAAAAACTGTATCTGGTTATATAGAACAAATCTTTCTGTTATTTCCGCTGCATACAAAATTTATGGAAACTGTCCTTAATGCATTATTTGTTGTTTTATAAATGTCACAGAGGTCATTATTTATTTGTCTTCACTAGGATTCTAACTGGTCTCACATTCAACTGATTGAGCTAAAGAGAAGTTGTCTCTGGTCTAGCAGTATATTGCAGCTAGTATTTTACCAAGGCTACATCTCCCCGTACAAGAACTTGTCCTCAAAGTTTCCAAGGGGTTACAACTGTGTTTGTTAAGGTGTTATTCTTGACTCCCTGCATGGAGGCATGTAACAGAGGTCATTATTTGAATGCCTATACTAGGATTTGAACCCGGGACTTGATAAGTTCTCTCTAGCCAAGTGGTATACTGCATCTAGTATTTTACCTCCAAGGGTTACACAAATCACAGGCTATGAAACAGATATGAGATCCTAACTTAGTGAGCCTTTGATATTCATTATAACTCTTTCTTTATGGAGAAAAAGGTGTAGTAGTGTGAAGTTGATAAGGTTCTATACATGTTTATAAATACACATTTAACACTACTTATTATAGATATTTTACCTTTTAAAATATCAGTCATGTATTCTGTCAAACTTTGTATGGATTAGACCAATTTTACTACTGGAAAACGTATTCCATAAGTGGTATGTTTTCCCCTCTGAATGTAAACAAACTCCCCATCAAGAAAATATACTGAAAACATGGAGAAATTCCCCCAAAATAGGGACAAATTTTCTCCAAACAGAGCTAATTAGTATATTTCACATAACATATTTTCAAGTCATTTATTCATAGAAAAGAAATACCAATCTAACCTCAGCATTGTCATATTTTATTCCTGTAATCTTGATGTGTGTCATACATTTTGACTCTATCCCACTTTTGAATTTTGACCTAAAGGGCTGTCCCAGAAATGTCTCCATATCTCAAAGACGTGCTTAAAAATTCTGTTTATCCACAATAGATATTACATCGTATTCCCTAAAATACAGCTGAACCCATGCACTGTTCTCGCACATTGGTGAAATATTTCTTTCCTTCTCATTACTTTTGTATGCACCAATGATTTTGTTTACTTATGTCTTATCTTTTTTTGTCTAGGTGTAGTACTTGCAGGAGATGGAGGAATGATTCAGCAGTTGTACCCAAGTTATTACTTTGGCGGAGGTGGAAAAATCGGAAAAGGGACACAATGGTTGCCATGGATACATGTCCATGACCTGGCAGGAATATTTCACCATGGAATAATAACAGACTCAGTCACTGGTGTACTTAATGGTGTGTCTCCACACTCTGTAACAAACACAGAATTTTCTGAAGCTCTGGCGAAATCCATGTGGCGACCTGCTTTGGTTCCAGGGTTTGTAAACGAAGCCGTTATCAAAGTTATGTTTGGATCTGAAAGGGCAAAGATAATTCTGGAAGGTCAAAAGGTTTCACCTGAAAAAACACTAAAGAATGGATATAAGTACAAATATACTGATATCAATGAAGCATGTAAAGCAGCTGTAGCAAACTTTTCCTTGAAAAGGAGTGCATGATTGGTGTAATATCCTGATGTGTGGCTGTTTGAAAAACTGTTCTTTTATGGTATGTCATGTATATGAAAGAAAGTATTTTTGGAAAGTTTCAATAATCATGTTGACTCTGTGATATAGATTTTCCTTTATTTATACACAGCATTATGAATGATATTCAACTCAACTGACAAAGAAGGATCTTAAGACATTTTTTAACTCTGTTTGATTGGAATGATATGATATTATGTTAATACTCATGAACATGTTATGCTGTGTTTGTATCATCAAGATGTTATCCTGTCTTGAAAAGTCAAGTTTTAGGTCATAGGAGAGGTTAAAGGTAATACACAAGTAAGTCTGAAGATTTCTTTTCTTTTTCAGGATTTGTTTTAATGTTTATTTGTTCAAAAAGGGAATTTGAAAAAAAAAAAATGAAACAAAACAAAACTGGGTACATCTAGTGTGAGCCTTGACAATTCTTCAATTTCTGTTGTAGTTTCAAAGACATTTAACCTTTATTATCCCAAAACAGTATGTCACAGGTTGCATTCCTTTTTCACCTTGGCTTAAAAGGTTACAGTTCAAGGTCAAATAACATTTTGATCAGTCTTATTAAATTCATCAAATTTAGAGACCAAGTTGAGTTTTCTCATCAATGCTTACATGGACCACCTGCACACAACTTTTTGACAAGTTAAACTATTTCCTATCCATTCAACCTTATAAATCTAAAGACAGTAAGACATAAAGACCAACATTACTTATGCATGTTGTTTGTTAGGTAACAATTAGAACTGTGATCTTTATATGAAACTAGCACTAGTTATACAAGGCATTTACATTCACGTCTGCATTTATGAAACTTTCATTACTTAAAGCTGTATGGAAGTTTACACAAAACAATCTGATGGTTTTCATTATTAACAAAAGTTATTTATTTTTGGTTTGTTTGAAATGTGTGTGCATCAATATTTTTCTTCATTTCAGTATTACTTCAGCTGAATAATTGTAAACATCAAGATTTCAATAAAATGGTCACTATGAATTTTCATGAAAAAAACTTCAGTTGATTTATTCTTAATGTTTTAAATTTTTATCACATACAAAGTCTTATAGAGTTATGCAGGCAAAATATTTATACAAAAAAAGTTCCTTAAAAATCATTGGGGGACAACAAATGATGAAAGCTACAAAGGGACACGATAGCATAGATAGACATCGTATTTCGTCCTTCATGGTATGCTGTCCACCATGCATAAATTTTCATTCAAATGATTTCTGAATTATCAAAAGGTCCAGCATACTGATATTAGGCATGTAGCATGCTGGGATGACCAGCTTCCAACTTTGTTCAAATGAATGACCTTCACCAAGTTTCAAGATCACAAAGTTTGAATGTGTTTAAATCTTCATGTCTTTTCTTAACCAAAAAGTCCTGACTTGATATTGGTTCTCAATTAATTCAAATTATTGTTCTTGACCCACTTTCAAGGGCACAGGGATCAAATATGTTGCGAACTTGCTATTTCTACTCTCAACAGGCAATAGGTCCTGGGTCATGGTATTTGTGTAGAAGCATGTATGAAGAATAGGATTTCAAGTTTGCAGAAATTGAATTTATGAACTGACAAGTTCTTTGAAAACAATGTGACAAATGAGCAATTCAGGCCCATTGGGCCATCATATAAAGGTCTTTATAATCAGATGACTTGAGGCCCATGGGCCTGCTGTTTTATTTGAAATCAGTTGCATTATCATTGGTGCAGCATTGTCCAATGGATTCTGGAGAGTATGATTCTGCTACATCATAGTAGCACACTAATGTCCAACGAGACATTTGTCAGTGTGGTTGAGCCACATCAATGGTGCACACCGATGTCCAGTGAAGTACTCATTCAGCTACATCATCAGTCACATTAATGTCCAACAAGACATTTGTCAGTGTGGTTGAGCCACATCAATGGTGCACACTGATGTCCAGTGAAGTACTCATTCAGCTACATCATCAGTCACATTAATGTCCAACGAGACATTTGTCAGTGTGGTTGAGCCACATCAATGGTGCACACTGATGTCCGCAAGACTTATCATTGAGTTGTATTGTTGGTGCACACAGAACTCCAGTGAAACTCTTGTTGTTTTGCCAGTCACACATGTCCAAAGAGCCATATCTATTGCGCAAACTAACATTCAGAGACTCTGGGATGTGCAAGACCCTGGTCAGTGAGGTAATTACATCATCAGTCAAACTGGCATCCAGTAAGACCCAGATCAGTGAGGTAATTACATCATCAGTCAAACTCGCATCCAGTAAGACCCTGGTCAGTGAGGTAATTACATCATCAGTCAAACTGGCATCCAGTAAGACCCAGATCAGTGTGATAATTACATCATCAGTCAAACTCGCATCCAGTAAGACCCTGGTCAGTGAGGTAATTACATCATCAGTCAAACTCGCATCCAGTAAGACCCAGATCAGTGTGGTAATTACATCATCAGTCAAACTGGCATCCAGTAAGACCCAGATCAGTGTGGTTGAGCCACTCCATTAGTTAATAATAACAGTAAAATCTTAAATTGCTTTGTTCTGTTTAATCAATTACAGCCGAGATGAATGTAACAAAACATGAAATCCATAACAATGTGCGATACAAGACAATGTAATGATAAATAGAATGGATTTGTTTACAGTAGGTATACACAGAGGTGACCTATACTGAAGCAGGCCTTGTGTTTTTAACACTATTTCTGAAGCTACTTTTGTTTACAAGTTATTTTTGAAAACATGCGAGGACACAAATATACATGTGAAAAAAAGGGGGGGGGGCATCTTGGAATTATTACAATTTACTTTATCTTTCCGTTTTCTTTTCAAACAAGGAATTTCTTTTCCGTTTTAAATCAGGAAATTCCGTCATGATTCAACCAGACAAGAATTTAGCACCACCAGACAAAATCTATAGTCCATAATCTTAATGTGGAAAAACAAAAGCACATTTTTAAAATTAATTTTTTTAATGCAGTACATCCAAAGAAAGAACCACAGTGTACAAAGAAATTATGTTTTATACTTAAAATTCATATTGCACATGTACTGTTGAAGCCACAGAAGCCACATAGATCTCATACTCCCAATATTCCTGTATCCCTACATAACTGCTTATAAAGTGATTAAGGAAAAGTCTTGGTGCTCCATGTGGCCTATCTAATCCATTTTAACATCCTGTTTGCATGTATTTATAACCCAATGGTGTCAAACTGAAATTGGTATTCAAGTGCTCCATCAAACTTTCCTTCACATTTTCCACATTAATTCTATGTCATATAGTATCTACTGTTTACTATCTACATAAAAGAAGGATACTTACCCCCTAGTTTTGTACTGCTAATTCTTATTCATGTATCACATCGATACATTTTAATATAACTGTTTTAAGCAAATGCAATATTTTAATTATCGAATGAATGAGCAAAATATTGAAAGCCTGAACAAATACATGCTCATGATCAATTAAACACCGACGATTCTAGCCCTGTCAACGTACAACACTTTTACACTCTCCATCACTCCAATTAGCACTTATATTTGTCTTACAATCAACATAGTATACTGTATTTATCTGGCAATAAGCCCATGCCTGGTATTAAGCCCACCCATACCAACTACACTAATTAAATTTCTCTGTCTGGCAATAAGCCAACCCCCCAGACTTTTGAGTTGAATTTTCATGTTGGCACCTAGGCTTATTGCAGGAAAAATATAGTAATGGTCCTAGGAATGCATTGTTTATGAATCATAAAAATCATCAATAATGAAGCAATGAATCACTCCTTTCATATGGAAACATACCAGTCAAGGGTTCCTCATTCAAAAACCATATAATACCATCTTTACAACTAGGTACTGTTTATATGCCCATTTATAATCAATTTTTCTTAACTCAAGAAACAGCATTATCTAAATATATTTTTTAAAATGTTATATTTAAGGAAATAGTGATTGTAACCCTTGGAAATTTGAGGAAATAATGTTTATTTCATTTTCATTTGCCTAGTATTAATTTTTCAAATCTCTGAACTCGAACATTGCCTACAATAACGGCTACCTACAATAATGGCTGTGTAGTCAAGATAAAAAAGGAGAATCTTGATACAAAATGCTCCATTCATCCCTCCCAACCCCAATTTTCTTTCAACACAAAAAAAACTTCATTTTATCCTTGTTCCTCATATTTCCTTTATACGTTTCCCTCATATATATACACATCTTGTTCTTGACAGAAATTTTGGAAATCTATTTTCGTACCAAATCTTGTGTAAATTTAAAACATACACAATATTTCAAAATAATATTAATGCAAATCTTATCACAGGAAACAATTATGCACCCAGATGATCATGATCACACACAAATGCATAGAACATCAGAAATTCTTCAAACACGACAGATCAGATTATCACAAAAATGTATATAGAATACAAACAATTTTCACGACTTCACTACGGGATTGGATTGATAAAGGGGATCAGAATGTTGACTATGAAAACTGGAAACCTGATCAAGTGATTTTTTTAAAATACATTTTGTGATACGATTGTACTGTGGACAAAGTTTCATCGTCTAACTAACAAATATCTTAAAGTGTATATGTTTTAGAATGAAAATTGTGACGATAGAATATTATCAATTCTCTACAGATCTCTATCTGAGCATACTGTTCCATAAATATCAGTATCCTTACCTAGATTGAGGTAAAACCAAACCCTGATTGTTATGTTGGTAATTCTGTTTGTGTTTATTTCTATACAAAGACTCTAAAATACCAGGGGCATTTTTATTCATCAATCTGACCTGTTGGACCAGTTGTTATCATCTAAAAATCTTGTTTTCCTTTCTGACGAACTTCAACTACACCTTTCAAGGTCTGTAGTAATATCTGTGTATTTATCCTGATTTATGCCCTATTGCAAATTGCATTTGAAGTAGCAATGAAGCAGTTTGTCCGCATAAAGGTTTGATATGAAATGATAGTGTACAATTCTCATGAACTACTTCATACAATTTAAGAGCAATCTGGAAATGCCAGAGAAAAACACAATATCCTTTTCAGAATAGTGACTAGGATTGATTCCTCAATCAAAGGTGAAAACGTACGAGATCACTTTCCTACCATGTCCAATACTCTAGGTTCTTCTCATAATAATTTCGATCTACTCACTCTCATCAAAATAAAGATAGAATAATTTATCAAAGTCGACATATAAAGCTGTTTGAAAATTGTTGTAAAAGAAATGAATTTATTGTTTATACTATGTATGAAGATGTATTCGAGGTTTATACTAAAACGGTTACTATGCAAACCATCAGACTTTTTCCATGCATGAAGAAACCCTGAGTTTTTAAAAGATAGAATGGTCCATAACATTCAAAGTTCAACTTCAGTAACAAGCACTCCCTTGCCAATGCTGTTAAGACTGCTTAATTTAGGTTCTTAACCTGTACAACAGTATACAAACAAACATCTAACATCATCAGTACAATCATTTAGTGTACATAAACATATGCACAAAACACCTGCCAACCCATTTGTCTAGAGATGACCAGTGAAAGGCTCAAAGATTACCAGACAAGCCCTCAACCTCTTAAGTGTAAAGTTTACAAGTCTAAACCAGTGACCTCTGAATGACCCAAAGATTTCCAGATAAGACAGTAACCTTACAACAGACCAAGTTTATAAGTCTAAACCAGTGACCTCTGAATGACCCAAAGATTTCCAGGTAAGACAGTAACCTTACAACAGACCAAGTTTATAAGTCTAAACCAGTGACCTCTGAATGACCCAAAGATTTCCAGGTAAGACAGTAACCTTACAACAGACCAAGTTTATAAGTCTAAACCAGTGACCTCTGAATGACCCAAAGATTTCCAGATAAGACAGTAACCTTACAACAGACCAAGTTTATAAGTCTAAACCAGTGACCTCTGAACGACTTGAAGACAAGTCTGTAAATTTGTAAGTCAGCGACCTCCGAATGACCCAAACATTACCACATATTATGATTTTGTACACATCTTTTTTTTTGTAATTTACGCAAGTGTCACTATCTTTGACATAGCTGAACCTCATTCCTTTTGTATAACTATACATTGTTATCAATAATAGTTGATTTTTGCCAATTATGTCAATCTTTGTCAAATTTCTGGCTACACATTTTTCTCCTTGAAAATAAAGTCCCAGGAGTGACAACAGCAACCAAAACCAAAAATTTAATAGACTTAATTCTGTAATAACATTTAAGGACCAGTATGGTATTAAACTTCTTACAAAGAATACATATACACACAATAAATATATTACATCTGAAGGTGTACCAAGAAAGAAACCCTCGACTGTCTATATTACCCATGTACTTTCAAGTCTCCTAACAATCTGATTGTTCACAAATATACTGGATTATATTTGCTAAACAGAACTCATTGTTTACTAAGATAAGGACTGGACAAAGCAAGATTAAAGATGAAGTTATCACTTTTTATACCACTACGTCAAGTATTTCATAATCATTAATTTTCCTTTCAACCTGCCCTCAACTTTTCAATACAAAATTTGACCCAAATGCTGGACAGAAACTTCCGTGTACACAAAATGATATCAAATTCACAGATCACCTGCTATAGTACATTTTCTGGTTTTATCTTTATGCATAAATGGATTTAAATTGATCTGATATCAAAATTTATCCAGACTGTATGGTCTTTCACATCTTGATCTTGAAAAGTCAAAGTTAACTATCATATATCTATAACTTTAAGTACAACCAAAATGAAGAATGAAAACTATTCAAGGTATCAAAGACCTTAAAGGAAGACTTGTTTTTCCTTGAAAGTTTAAGCAAGTACTGTTTGTTTTCTTCATCAGAAATGTAGTTCCTTATTAAAACAGGTACTGAAGAAAATGAACCAATTAACGAAAAATTATGTGTACATTAAAAAACTAACAGTCCAAAATGTGGTACGATGTATTTCAACTCTCACAGCCATTAATTAATTCATTTATTCAACACTCCAAGAACAGAACCAATATACACACCACAGATGGCTCCTAGCACATTTATAAATATCAAAAATTGGTACATTGCTAATTACATCTCTTCTCCTTCCACATCTCCATGAGTGACATACTTGTTATCGCAGAAACTTCACAATATTTGTTTACGTGCTGATCCTTGGGTATGCTTGGGTATGACTAGCAACACTAAGTTTAATCAGGCTTCTTTGACTTATATCCACAAAGAACCAGGGAGGAAGGTGACCGTGGCAGAGCCTGCCTGCAAGTAGGTCACATGATTGAAGAAATTGTTGCTTTAACCAATTAAGATTGTTTGGCCGTCTTGATATACCGCCTGTGGACCATGCCCATCAATATAGAGACTCGGAGAATGTCAAACGGTGAATCTCCTCTTGAATGAATTCCATTTTGCACTTTCGTTTTTTGTTGATAATCCCGTAATTATTTGGCAGCTGGTACACCGTAGAGCTGACATCATTCCCATAGATATTTAGGAAAGGAGTTCATTTCACCTGTGTCCGATATGGCATTGCCATTTTGAACATAAGAAACTTTAATTCTCATTCTAATTGGTTGCTGAAACCAGAAAGAAAATCATTACTGATTTTAAGTGGTTGACAAACAAGTCAAGAATTTTTCGAACTAGTTCTTATATAATCAAATCTGTATTTGCATACCTTGAACACTCAACTTGATTGAATATTTCATTATCTACTCACCCCTCCATCCCATCTATGTAGACTGAATTTTTTGCTAATGTAAAATGTCCAAAATAAATTTCAGAGTGCTTAAAACTACATCACCAATTAATTATGTATTGAGCTTGATCAATGGTTTTAAGTGTACATTTGCCAAAAAAATCATAATCTTTCACATTAGGGATATTGCTGTAAAACATCTATCCCACCCCGTGACTCCAGGTTTTGTTCAAGGCAATTTCAGTAAAACATCTATCCCATCCAGGACTCAAAATGTTGTTTCGGGCAATTTCAATAGATAGAAGTGACTTATTTTGGAGTCCTGGATTCAAGGAAGTGTTTCATTGGAATAGTCCTTATTAAACTTGTTTAATTAATTTATGCAAAAACTTATGTCCACATAATATTCAGCTAGACTATGATATATCAAATTCAAGCTTAAATTTAACAGGACCATCTGTTCCTACTTAAGTATGGAAGCTTTTCTAAATATTTACTCACGATGTTTATTTTCCTTACCTTTTGTGGGTTGTTAAGTTTGATGACTTGTGTAATGGCGCCATCATTCATGGGAGGAATCATATTGCCAGAGGGGGACAATAACTGTAACTGGAATGACTGTAACACAACACCAAACACTTTAACAGTGGTCCTCAAAATTTGACATGACAAAACCAATTTCTTCTAATTCAGTAAAATAGATAAAATAGAGAATGATGCTAGAGTCTTGAATTCAATATGAAATAAGACACAAAAAACAAAACAAAAAAAAACCCCGAAAAATTCTATACAAACTATTATTTAATACTTTTTAAATATCTTTTAAAGTAACCAAGACATGGAGTAATGGTTTGGAGACAAGAGTAATCTTTGGTGCAACATTTATCCCTGGAGAATCGATCATTCTAATTTAAATCAAGCCAAAATCACAAGTTTTGTCTCTCTGGACACACATTATTAGCTTTGATATTAATCTCTGTGAAATGGTAGGATACCTACTTTTGGTACTGCCGCCTGAAAGACAAAATCAGCCATCGAAGTGGCTGTGGAATTGGTGGCCTTCACGTTGACAGTGGTAACATTAGCCTGTGTCTCATCTCGTTCACACATGAACTCAATTAACAAACCATTTTTGTTAAATGCTGTTAATGTTTCTAACCCTGCCAAGAAAGAAAACATCAGAATTACACAAGTTAAACATTTCCTATGGCCTTTTCCTTTCAAAACTTCTCATAAAATTTGAAAAATTTTCCATACCATATACTTTTTATATTAATGTCAATAAGACTTTTTAACACTAATATGATTTATAAATGAAATACTATGATAGCTACAACAAACTTATGTACATCAAAGCTTAAATGAAAAATATGAAAAGAAAATTATTTGCCTTAACTGGATTAAGATTGTACAGAAACGAACCTGTTGTTCCACCATTCATCTGGGCACTAGGTGTTGTGGCACCTAATAAGTTGTCCATCAAATTATGATTAGGAGCTGGAACCATGTTGTTGACTGAAAGAGAAAATGTTTTGATAAAACAAAACAAAAATAAAATAAATCAAATAAATTCCATTAAATTTAATGTCAGACTGAAATTCAAAGTAAAGGACATTAAAATTGGGAAATTTAACATGCTATATAGGGAATATCCTGAAACATTGATTTTTAGTGGAAAACATTTTAAAACATTGATAAATCACTGAAGTTACACCTACATTGCAGTCTAATCATACAATACAATTTTATCATATTTGTTGTTGATATATTCATAGAAATGCTGACTTACTTTTAATAACAGAAATAGAATTTGTAAAAGAACTGATTTTAACAAGCAGATGTGCACAAGTTCATGACAATGGGATGAATTGATGTCTGTGGACCAACAAAGCCCAAACTTTATCTGTAGTAACTATGGTACCCCTAAATACCCTGAACAACTTCCTGATATGATCATAACAAATCATACCTGTATTACCCGCAGCAGCATTTGCTACATCCCCCAGAAGGTCCAGGAGGTCATTGGCGCCAGCTGATTTGGAAGGTTCTGGGTTTGTAGGTATCACAGGTGTAGGTCCAAGGTCCCCTAAAAGGTCTAGAATATTTTGACCCTTCAAAAAAAAAAAAAAAAAGGAAATAGAAATTAATAAGAATTCATCGATGCTTTAAGTGTTTCAATCATTAAAATTTTTTCAATAAATTCTCAAAATGGAAACAAAACTATTTTTCTGATTCATGCTAATGTTTGCAAACTATGGTATATTATATTAATTCCTTATTATTTTAGTATATTTCACTATGACATAATTTCTGTAAGTATCCTGCGATTGGTTAAAGAAGCCAAAATATAACCTGTCACTCAAAGTAGGATGTGGGCTTATCACTAGGTATATATTGGCATTGTTGATAAAATTGCAAGAGATGTGAGTTTATTACCAGATTTGTTTTTTTCAAGACCACAAAAACCCATTATCTTTAGGTTACCTCTGTCTGCTGTGTGCTCTGTTTCGCAGTGTCTAGAAGTTTCATACTGCCATCGCCACCTGACTTATCCGAAGTTAAATCCTCCAGCCCGTTGCCCAGCCCCTCATCCTCATTATTAGATAGCAAGTTTTTACTCCGGCTCTTTTCAATCAAAGGCATCTGTTCCAATAATGCTGACCTAAAAGCAAAAGTGCAATAGGTTATTTCGTCTCTAGGATTCACCCAAATTTTTCAAAAAAGTTTGAAATCCTTCAGCATGTTTATTTATCTACTGTGAAATCATAAATAATTTTTGTGGATTTCTTACATTTTCATTATCTTCGTGGGTATCCTTCATCTACATAATCCAATGTCAATGACATTGTAACTAGCAGTGCTGAGACAGTTATCAGATAAAATCAATGATTTGATAAAACTGATTATCAGATCATTTAACCTCATTTGATGTGATGGTTTATTGTGATTCTTTATAATAGATCATTGGTATCTCCATATTTTCATGCATTGTAACAAAAGCAAAATTTGTATTATGTAAAATAATCAATTATGGGTTTAAGGTAGCCTTACAAATTTTCTTGGTGCAGCCATGGATAAGATTTTTGTTCATCAGATTACCCCATTATCAAGGTTTTACTTGAAATTAAGATAATAAACCATTGCTAAAATTGGTCTTGTCATGTTGACCTGGAAAAAGGTTTTCAGAATAATATTTGCATTGTGTTGGAAATTACTATTTGGACCATCTCGAATCTGTGTCTAAGCACAACAAAAAAAAATTTACATGAGTAAAAATTCCTTTATGTCTACATGTGATCATGTTGTGAAGGTGTTTTGGGCTGGAATTTGTTGAAACACCAGTAATCTGTTAACATGACAGTGTTGTTAATTTTTAGACAGGGGTTCAGAAATCAATTCCTCCTATAAAGTTGTAGTGTTAGGTTGGAATTAGAAGTATTTTTGCATTTTTTGCATTGGCAACCATGGCGAACACATGATACTGAACTTAGTCAGTATAACTGAATACACTTATGAAAAATGTTTTTAAGTAATGATAACATTATAAAAATTGATTTTAAAGATATTTTATATAGTTGAACTTTTACAGTAATTTTTCCCCTTTCCTGTTCACTAAGGAAATTCTGGTCTTACCTCATATGGTCAAACTTGGTGAAGACAGATGTGTATTCTACAGACCGCTGCTGTAACTCTACATTAACACTGGTGCCATAATACTCAATCATCTTCTTGATCCTCCTAAAACACCAACATAATGACAACATATACTATACTGATCCTATAGCCCAGGGGGCTAACACACTATGTCTGACTCAGTCAGACAGTTGGATTATTACAGGGCCTCAGAAGGATAATACACCACTCATGACTCAAAGTTAGGTATTGGGCTTATTACAGGTCATCAGGGGGTCAATACACTATACTACATCTGACTTAAAGTCAGGAGCTTGGCTTATTACAGGACCTGAGGGGGGCAAACACATACTTCTAACTTAAACGTCAGGGGCTGGGCTCATTACAAGATCAAAAGGGGCCAACACATACTTCTAACTTAAACGTCAGGGGCTGGGCTCATTACAAGATCAAAAGGGGCCAACACATACTTCTAACTTAAATGTCAGGGGCTGGGCTCATTACAAGATCAAAAGGGGCCAACACATAACTCTAACTTAAAATCAGGGGCTGGGCTTATAGAACAATGAAATAGTATTTATGGATACACTTTATTATTTTGAAGAGACATTGATATGACTAGGCTAATAACCCACACAGCGGTTTATTGGCAGTCAAATTTGGTGCAGCCATTCATGTGATACTTTATAATCAATCTATTACTAGAAGAACTTTTTTCACATATGCAAAGATCTGGAGCAGACCCAATTTTCATTCACATGTGCAATGTTTATTAGCTTGTGAAACAGAAATCAATACATAGCTGTTAAATGTACGTCATTTTAATCATCTTAAGTAGACATCCCTATTATTAAACCAGAAATATTTCTGGTTTACCATCACCTGAACCTAAAAAGTTAACAAATATGGAAATGAAATTTGCAATTCCAAAATTTCTGAATACATAATCATTTCAAGACATGTTCTGGAAAGTCATAATTTTGTAAATGCATTAAGTTTCTTCAAATCCTGACATGTTCCAAAAAGCATTTCAAGGAGTAATCAAATTATGTTATATTACATAGAAGAATTACTAAGGAGGCGGAGCAGAAACATAACAGCTTGCCTACTTTTGTAATCAATTATTGATAACTCACCCCATTGTCGTTCTAAATCTGGAACTAAGTTTCATGACTGCAGTGATACAATATTCCTTGGTAACCTCCAGCGAGTTATTATTGGTAAGAATTTTCTCTAACACTGTGATCACTTCATCTTCTGAGAACTAGAAAATAAAACAAAAACATTTATTATCTAAAGCTAGGAAAATGTCTTATATGTAATGAATACTTTGATGCAAACCAGAATCTGAGTGACTGTATTGAACTTTCTGTTATGATACTGTATTGTAAATATGAACCAAATCTATTGAAAGTTTCGCCATAGTTCACGGATTTGGAATGAATCCAGACAGTATGGGATGGAATGGATGGACATGAGCAACACTACATACCCTTAAACATCATAAACTGACAGGGAACACTAAAGATTACATGTAACTAATTACCATGTACAATTCCTGTTATACAAATAAAGAAACAATGTTTCATGACATTTCAAGAAAAAATTAATATCTAATAATTTCATAACTAGTTCCTTTAAAAGAATTACAATTTGATTATTTTAACAATCCTGCAATAAGCCATGGTATCAAACATATTCTTATTCCTCCAAGTTTTGATGCAATAAATACATATGTGTGTGCTAAATGCCAGACAAAAGCTTATTTTTGGTTCCTGAAATGAAATTTTATCATGTCTTATCACAATTAAAGAAAAAATCAAATTTCCAACCAATATTGTAAAGTATACAGTATCTTACATAGTAGACAAACAATTTAAGAGCTACAATTACTATTGTACCTGCATTGGTTCCTCCTCATCAGGCTGTTCTACCAGTAACTGTTCCCCATATTCTCCTATACACCAGGTAGCCACTTGTGTGAGGGGCTGCTGTGTGATGTCACACTGGAGTTGTCGGAACATAGACTTAACAGTGTAACCATGCAAGGTGGTGGTCTCTGCTATAAGTTGAATCAATACAGATACCATATCGTCTCGTACATAATTTCCAGCCTGCAAACAATTACACAAACGCTGATGTGAAAATTCTATAAATTCTACAATCAGAGCTACATTTTCTCAATAACAAATTCATAAAATAAGGTGTCCTTTGCAAATGAAACTGATTTCTAGCGAATTCACTTCTATAACCTTTGAATTAAGATCAGATTTGGAAAGTTTTGTTGATATATAGGTAACACTTTTGACAGCTTTTGTCTAGAAATCTATTTCTTACCGTGATAAGAACCTTCATAATTGTATCTATATGCCAACGCTTGTTTGGAGAGTATCTGGAAACAAAAATAACAGAAAATCATGTTCTGTACCTTTCTTATCTTTCAATGTGTCTAAAGCAAAATAGGAATAGAGACACTCATAAAAAAGATCTTATTTCATAGTGTTCCAAATATATTTTACAAATATGTAAAATTAGAAAAGTATTCATCCAGTCAAATTTGTCCATTGTTACCGTCTGAAAATGGCAACATCTGAAAAACATATTGGGATAGCAAGAATCAACTGTGTGATACTGAAAATCTTAAAATCTTAAACTTTCATCACTGTAAGTAGTGTTTGTAAAACTTTTGCCAGCTCTATATATGGAGGTAATGATTCTGTTATACCAAAACAACTAGGAAAGGATGGGGATATTTAATAATTGACAAGAATACAGACAATCTATTACATACTTTTCAGCAACTAAGATGATGTTAGAGCTAGTATCAGCCTTGAATTCTGGGTCACAGGTTTCAAGGAAGTGCAGAAGCTCCTTCATCATGCCCCGTACATTTCCAGTATTCACTAAAGCAAAGGACAACTCCATAGCACGTCTGAAATGTGATTAAACGTTAGTTCAGTTATCATAAATCATAGTTCTGTGAAACAAATGAAATGAAAAGCAGGCAGAACTTATTTTTGCATATCGTACAAAATGACTGGAAAAACACTTCATAAACTAAAATAATTTATAGCTTGATGGAATATTTCAACATATCTTTATTATGAAGAAGTTATTCCAGACACTTCACTCATTGTAACATCTACATTTTATAAAACAAGTTTGTAAATGTTTGCATAAATACAATATCATGTTTGCTGGGTACCTCAACAAACTGTGAACATACAGGAGTCACATCACTTGGTATCAAAAAGGAAATGGGGTAAAGTATCTTACCGAAGGACACAAACATGTCAGTAAAGGACAATTCATTTCTCGGCTTACTAGAAGCATACATAGCATTAAGAAAAGATTGTTGGACCATACCTCAGTTATTATACAACAAGCATACATAAAACATATATGGAAGAAAACAATAAGAATGCTAACTTACCTCCTTATTGAAATGTCTGGATCCTTGAGACAATCCACTATCGTTGTTCTGTGTCTCTGTACGGCATTATAGTCTGCTTGTACAACACGTAATAATGTGTTCAAGGCTACATATCTATAAAAGATCACAAAATTTGTTTACAATGCAGTTTATTAACATAAAATCAGCCAATGTCACAAAAGCATCCACATATGTAACAACTTCATAAAAATGATATTGATTGCTTTCCTTAACACAATAGCTTCATATTTCCATTAGTTCAATTTCCTACATCAATTTTCCAAATTTTTTCAATTACCAGCCCATCACTCTCCAGTCATGTAGATTGGTCTTTAGATGGTTAAACAAATCTTATCACCAAAACACAACCAACAGATTTCAGAAACAAACAGATGTCAATTCAAATTTCTAAGAAACATAAAGAAGTTTCGGCACATAATCTAGCAATAGCTTCTCATGCACTATACAGATTTTTAAAGAGATAGAAAATCAGTGCCGCTTACCTGATATTCTTATCATTGTTCAATAAAAATCTTCCCAAAATGTTTACTGCTAGAACCTGTGAAGGAAAAATTCAATCATGTTTCAGCATCAGAGTCTAGAAACAATACAATGTATCAAATCATATCATTCGTAGGAAAAGCTAACAGAACTAGTGCAAACATACTTTATTTTGCGCAATCAAATTTTAAGGTATTATCACTATTTGGCAAATTAACGCCACAATGAATTAAGGCATGCACAATGACTGTTCTTGCTATTAGCGCTATCATATTTTAGCACAATATTTTCAGGAGGAAAGGTGCTAAACGTGATTACCACTTAAATATAAATAATGTACATTTACTGTACTTCACCCTTTTGATTTCCTTGCTATTATCAACTGCAGAAATAACATTTCCAGTTTACCATGCATAACTTAAAGAACAGATCAAACTGCTAGTCTGTGAATCTAAAACCTTAATACTAAACACCTAAATGGTGAATTTGTACAAAATAAACATACACTTGGGATGTATGTAACTTACTCTAAGACCGGCTTCAGACTGTATACCCATGATGGTAAGAACAATCTCATAAAGAATAGCATGTCCCACATTCTTGCTGGTATCCGTGTTGGTGGCCACCTACACAACAAAAAATCTATCTTGTATGCTAGGACTACAGATATATTACTTACTGTTAAATATAATTTCTGACCTCTCCTCTCAAAGGAACCCAATTTTATCAATGACAAGGTAATCTTGAATGGGAGTTACCAGTGCACTGGTTAAGAACGATTCCTATAGAGTGACTGGGCAGGAAAGAAATGATTCTCTATACATTGCCAATTATCACCAAACAGAAGCAATCATCTTAGTTATGGCATGAAGGTTTCTAAATGTGTCTGTAATGATTCAAGCACTCTTTACAAATTGACAAAACAGAAAGTAATGCATGAAAGGTTTCAGCGAATTTCACACAATGATGACCCTCTTGAAATATAGGATCAGAACTGCTGACAAATTATTTCTACAAAACATACCTGTGCAAGAATGTCATTCATAGTTTCGCTGGCTTCTGTGTCATTCTTTCCAAGTATTCTCAGCAGTCTCAATATCTTGGCCTGTTACAAATGATGTTTGAATTTTGTATAGAAATATTCTGATACAAAGCATTGTTTCACAAAATGATACACAGATGATGTTCAGGAAGTCAGTCAGAATAATAACACAATAACAGCCAAAGAACATAAACTCTGCACACTTATCGCGTCAAACAGGTAATAAAATTCTATTGATCATATATAGTTATTCAAATGTCCACAAATGCCAATTTGTTAATAATGCTGATAGAATTGAAAAAATTGATGAAAATAAGCTCTGTTGCCTACATACCAGCGACTTATAACCCCAAAAATATGTTATGTTACCTGCAGGAAAGGATCACTGACACCAGACACATCATGTTCCGGTGAGTAGCCAGCCATTATCAGGTTCTTCAGGATCCGGACTAACTGTGGTACAGTCTGGGGGGATAGAACACAGCATATGCATCAATACACTCTATATCTGTGGTATTGTCTGGGGGGATAGTGCCTGTATTACTACATTTTATACCACTACTATATATATCTTCTAATATATCTTGATCACTTCCAATAATATACAACTTGGCATATAGCTCTGAGAAAAGTATGTAGACACCATATGTAAAGAAAACATTTAAGTCATTCCATCCTTTATAGCCCGGTCACAGTAAAGAAGACTGATAAATTGTTCATCCAAGACAACCATCAAACCAAAACAAAACATATATAAATCAAATTCTGATATCAATCAAAGAATAAAAAATTCATGCTAAGCACAATTTGTCTACAACTTTTATAAGTTGAAAATAAAATTCAACTTTTTAATGACAACACAGGCTTTACTAACTGATTATAATCATGAGAAAAAATAAATATAACAGTAGTGTATATATAAATAAAAAGGAATATCAATTTTAAAGCTGTACATGCAGTGTGTTGCTTAAATTTCATAATAAATAGCTGTATAGATGTGATAAAGAAATAAGAATAGTCAATATAGTGGCCATATGATCCAGTATTTTACATGCAAGCAGTAGAATATAAGCTATGCCAATCATCTGAAAACATTCTAAAAGAAAAAAAGAAAAACATTCAAATAGTACAAAGAGATATCTCAAGCCTGCTCTTGAGAGATGACCTGGTATCTTGGTAAACACTTAACTATTACACAAATACTCAACACTTAGTTATACAACCTCCTTATAGAACCCAACACCAGCATAAAAGTCCTCACTTTTCACAAAGGACCATTGAATCAGAAATGAAAGCAGAGCTTTTTCTCTGAATTCAGAAAAAAAGATGTCCTTCTGTAAATTACACTCCATTTAGAGGAGAAAGATACCAGTGTGAGAATTAGGAGCTTCCATGTAAACAAATGAATGCAGCAGGATACATGCTATAACAAATCCTGTGTTACCCTAACCTTCCTGAAGTGGTGTAGCGTATCAGGGCTACGCTCACACATCTCCGTTATCAGGCACACAGACGTCAGAAGAACCCCTGAAAACCAAAACAATCATATTCTGTTATGCAAAGATCAATCACACTAACTTTCTAAAATCTACACATATTTAAATGATATGAAAAGTTTGAAATTATCCGAATTTCTTTTTCCCATTTTAATGATCTTTAGGTAGCCAGACCCTTATCCCACCCCTAAAACATAAATGTTACTTCGTAATAAGAGTAATGGCAAAGTTCAATTGTTGATAATTTCTAGCAGTAACAAAATGAAAATATATACCATGGTTTTTCTCATTCAATAACGTCCTGGTAGCAGGGATAAACATCTCCATGAGATCAGGAACTTTCCTAATGATGCAAAATGCACTCAGTATTGCCTGAAACACAAATACCATGAATACAGTTTGGATCTTCAGACAAGAAAACAAACATTATGATAGACACTAAGCAAAGTCAGTATACAAATAATTAAACCCAGGGCTCTCACACCCCATTTTGGGACGGGGGCCCGGGGCCCTCAGAATTGGGAAAAAGAATGGTGTTTTCCTTAGAATTGGGAAAACTTGGGAGTCTAAATTGGGAAAAAAAGATACTATTTTGCATTGGGAATGGGGCCAACTATCGGCCCCAAATCTGGCAGATCGAGAGCCCAAAAACCCCACCATTTGTATAACTGTTCTTTCTTAGTCTCTCCAAAGAATCTACATTTTGAAGTTAAGATATGAGAATTATTGTAAGGGTTTCAAAAATCAATCCAAATTTATCGATTCATTCCAAGTCCAATTTTTATCTTTTTGAACACTATATGATCTTGCTTTACATCAAATTAGGTTGACGTAACTTCCAACTAAAAATATAATTCATCATAAGTATTTAAAGGTTTAAAAAAAAAACTTTTTCTATCTAAGGTGCTATGCTAGACATAACATCTAAAATGCATTGACTACTGTAAAAACCTGCGTACTACTTTGTTGGGCTGAAAATGGTAAAAGATGCTACTACTTGCGTAATGTGCGCACCCAAAAATTCAGTCAAAATCAATCTCTGAAAGCCAAGAAATCAATCTCGGAATGTTCAGCTTACACATCAGACCAATGATATATAGTCTAAAACTTGAAAGTATCCTCTTCAAAATTCGCTATCATCTCATTTACTGACTTTTAATAACTTATCTATCTAATTAACCCTTATTTATCTATATACGCAAACACTTGTCATCACACTAGGCCTAATCAACAGTGTTGAAATCACAAATACAAGTCATTATCTATGTATTCATGACCAAACCAGGTAAATACAATCTCCGCGAGTCAACTTTTCTTTTGTGTCTCACTGTCACATCAGTATACAGAGCACAGAATGGAATCAAACAGAATGTACTGTAGACATGCATATGTGTATTGTCAAAAGAAGAATGATGTTTCATTGCCAATTTTGGTAATCATGTCAAGACTATTCACTCTTTATTATTAGAAGATAGATATGCTATGTAAACATCCATAAGGCCAATTTAAATAAACAATTAAACTCATAGTCTGATGATAACTCTCTATCTACACATCACACACTAATATGCTTACACTAAACTTCTAATACACATGAAAACAGACATATGCTCATGGTTTCTTCTTCATTGCGATGTGATGGAAAATAAATGACAACTGTCAATTTCTGAACAGTTGAACATTTAAGTGTTTTAAATATAATCATATCATAATCAACAAATTGTTCTATGTCGAAAAACAGGCAAATGTCTGCTAAGTGTTATCACGTTTTCAAAAATGATTGTCCTGATTTTGCATGATATTGACTCTTTTTGTGTTTGTTTAGTGTACCAAATATTCAATGATGGCAGCTTCACAAATCTTTGATTTTACCATGGAAAAAAAATGTGAAAATCTTATAGCTTCTTAATGTGTGCATCCCAACTTTGGACACTTGTTTTCTCTCTACCAAAAAAACAAACAAACTGCACATATTACGTGGGTTTTTACAGTAACCGATTCCAGCTAAAATAAAAAAGGTTGAAGATGTGAATCTTTAAAGATTTGGATTTATTAAAGAAACAAAGAAATCTTTACCTTTTTCTTCACATAGGCATTGGATGATTTGATCATCTTTTCTATCTCTCCTGCCAGATCACGACTCATCTCTGTGGAACAGATGGAGCCAAGCGTACAGAGGGCAAGGCTTTGGATATACTGGGTTTGATGACCAAGGTCACTGTAATAAAAGCACAATCCCTTATGGATGGAGTCTTGTATGACGATTATAAGCCTCAAACTTTAACACCATAACATAATTTACTACTGTGAATTTTTTACATGACCTATCAGAGGAGAAACCCAGAATTATATCATTAGATGAGAAAAAAGTCCTTTCAATGCCCCCCTTTTCTGTATGACATTCATAAAGTATTGATCATCATCAAGCACTAGATGACTATAGATCTTTCAGATCAACTCACATACAGAACATGTGCTAGTCACAACCTGATAATGCTATTTTTATTGATAACCTGCACAGATCAAAACATGTTTGTGGTCTACAACTACTGCAGCATATATCATAAATTACTGTATTTTCTGGATTATAAGCAGCACCAGTATGTAAGCTGCAGAGCTGATTTTTGTCAATTTTTCTTCTATTTGATCCACATATAAGCTGCACTCTTTCTTACGAAGTAGTAATTGTTACATAGACCACAGTTTGTTGATATATGACAATGGAGGGCAATTTATCAAGATTGTCAGTGCAACATTTAATAAAGTTTGCAAATGAATAATACTAGATAATCCCTCCTTTTATTGATGTATTTCAAAAAACGTAAAAATAGCAAATATCAAAGTTGTTTAGCTTGGGTGCCTTCACAGATAGTTTGCGCACAGACATAGGGACTACAAAAGCTACATAAACATTTGTAGCATATAAAAGTAAACCTTGGATCGCTGTCTTTACAAACTATGTCTTATACCTAAATTTCAAGGTTCTGTTTATTTTCATTCCTTGTGTGATATAACTTTAGTAAGTGTATCAAACACAGTGATGTACTAACTGCACTTTCGAAACCATTTCTGTAATTCACCTTTAAAAAAAAAACATGCTTGAGTGTAACTTTGGCTATGAAATACTGTATTCAATCACAGTGAAATAATTTGTATTAAGCAAACATGAAATGTTTATAAATCACACTTATCAAGACATTCCTGAACTAAACTTACTTTTTCAGGGAGTTAGTGACCAGTAGATGGACATCTTGTCTCTCATCTAGTAACAACATTGCACCAAGGTAGCCAATCCTCTTGTCTGTAAACTTTGGGGATGCTATCAGCTTCAAACATTCCAACTGAAAAATACACAATCAAAAAAGTCAATTGATGTCTTATTTAGAATTATTATGATCTTTACCGAGAGTTCCAAAATTAAAAAAGACTTCAAAGCAGCAAAGCAAGGTATTTTCGTGATTGAATATATAGCTGGTTTAGGGAGTATTTGGGAAAATATGGAAAAGGCAACCAAGTTGACATATTAGGATCTGGCAATCACTGCCCTGATGCTTTTTGTGTAGTACATATATATATAGTACTTCAGTATTAAGCATTAAGCAAGAAATCCACTGATAATAATTCATTCATAGTACATATTGCTGTGTACTTGGATTTGAAACAGGCTGTTGGTTAAAAAAAAGAGTTGACTGAACATAAATTTGAAGCAGTACCATTCTATGTGAACATTGATACTGACATATATTTTAATGTGCTAATACACCAAAAGATTATGATTTTCTTCATTAACATATCCTACATCTGTCCATAATGAGGTATGTACTAGGGTGAGATGCTACAAGCTGAATGTAAAATAAGCTGTGGGTTCACACTTTAACTTTTGTCAACACATTGGAAACAAACATGTCAGGTTTGTGGATATGATAACCCAAGACAAGCTCTTGGGTTTAGGTATTGACCCATCTCAACTCTCCAATTCTGGTAAGCCACCTTGAATTGTCCTAGTACTTATCACAGATTCCCATTGAAAAGGCTCACCTGGCCAAAATGAGCAGGGTAGCCCAACATGTGGATGTAAAGAAGTTTGGCGAGATTGCGACATCTGTATGTGTTATCTTGATCCCGAAATGATTCACGTATTGCTGCACATTCTTTTTGCACCACTCCACGTTCATCGGCAGCTGTACGAGCTGACCTGATTTCTCTTATTAAATCCCGAAGCCGCTTTGGAGTCGGCGTAGTCAGTGATCTGTCAAAAGAAATTAACATCAATATTCTGTCTATTATATCAAGTATCCAAACTGACCACACCCTCCACACATTATTGATGTATTAACTTCTTTATCAATATGTATACCACTATACTGTTACAAGAATTAGTCAAGACAAATATGAATAAAAGACATTTTAATAAATCTCAATCTCATCAAGTGTCATTTGTGAAGTTGCAACATTTTCCCCCCAAATGACTAATATAACGCATAAAACATAGATTTGATCACGTTTGAATTGAAAGTTTTAGAATTTTCAACAACTTAGTTAATTGTAAGTGATTGCAAGTGTGACCATTCATCAATAAAACCGGAGCCCCACCCCCAAACGTCACTTAATAACAGATCAGCATGTTTGCATAAATTTCATGCAGTTGACATGTATAACACAGTGCCAGTAATCAATATCATATCACAAAGCTGAAATAACAACATCAGTAGTCACTCGTTATCAACGACTAATATCTCAAGGCCTTTACATCACGATATAATAGGAAGTTGTCACGAAATAAGGAGGGGGGGAATCACAGGTAAACAAAATGCAAAAATTATATGGATGTTTATACCGCATCATCTGGACAGCTGGGTGTATTTCGTTCCACTTAGGCACTATTTAACGATGTTGTCCCCAGTGCGTCCGCATGTGCCGAAGATACAATAAAACAATTATAATATCCAGCCGGTTTTCTTTAGACATGGACAGGTAACATATCGTCGTTTGTCTTCAATATGGCTTCCTAAGAGATTTCTCAACTTCCTCCGCTGAAAGAAAATAAACCTTGAAAGAACTAACCGATTCTCTATAAAGAATCATATTCAATATTTCGGATTGAAGCAACAAATAGAATAAGAAAAAAGTATTTAATCGCAATTCAACCGTATCAGGTGGAGGATTTTATCGGGTAACGTGTATTTATTTATAGGATGAAAAGTAGTTCTCGTACGCCGTGGCAAGTGGACGTGACGTCACTCACTCACACCGTTCAAGAACGATTACTCTAATTATACTTACACATCTTCCAGCGTGTAGCCGGTGATGTCATAACCACATACAAATGTTTTTATATTACTGTTCGCCATCCTGATTTGTATAATATTTTCGGGGTTGTGGGTAGAAAAATGAAATAAAAAAAATTACCAGAAATGTGTACTACTTGCTTATTATAAATAAATAATGTGGCACAAACTGAATAGCAAATGGCAGATATTTACTGATTGATAATATCTACATTGTCTAATTTTGTTCCGTATTTTCTAATGCATGCTTTGTTGTGTTTTATTGTTTTTTAAAATTCAAATTCCTGTTGTAACGTTTCCAATGTTTTGTGGCAATAATAGCTACAGTTCGAACTCGGGACCAAAGTCTTACCAGTCTGACGCCAACAGGTCATAAGTCCAGCTTAAGAGAAGTGCTCTCTCCCTGAAAGGCCGGTATATATTTCGATGGGTACTTTACCAGAGTTACAATTGTACCGTTCTCGGCCCCTAAAGGCTGCGAAGCTTATCACTTCACTGACAGAGAGAAATGATATTTTGTGCGATATGAAATTAATATGTTCGCTGCCTTGTATTTTTCCCAATCCGGCTTTCATCTACAGAATTTGACATTACTTTAAATGACTTAGAAACAATACCGTTTTTTGAACGCATAATTCCTGCTCTTATTCAAAAATGATTTTTTTTGTCCTGGTCTTTCAATATTAGAGTGGTGCATCTAACTCTTGAGTCCTGAAGTGAAGTCCCGTGGTTAATATTTTGGACTAGCCCGAGGTGTATGGTTCGCTCGCAATTTGGTCCTGCAGCTCTCCTCATGCAGCTTTCTGGTAAATTTCTATCGTCATGCCCTATCATGAATTTTCCTTTGGCAAGACACAATCTTATTAGAGTGCGACGGGCCTTCCGCATGTTGTTCATTGTGGTAGTTACCAACTTCTACAGGGTGACCACACCGCTTATGATTCTGGCAGTTTATGAATCTATAACCCAACCGACACAAACACGAAGAAAATACATAAAATATATAGATGAATAAATAAATAAAATAAACATTGTCAATATTTTCTTTTTGTTCTCCCCATTTCATTTATACAAAGAAAATGAAGCCTTTATTCAAATTATGGTTTTAGACAGGGAATATTTTTCTGTGCATTAATGAATTAAGATTTCTCTTTTTTACATGTTCAGTTCAGACAAACTTGCTTTTTTTATTTTTAATTCCACTTCATTTGTGAAGAGAATTAATGCAAGCTCTGAACTTGTTTTCTCATTCCATATAATAAATAAAAACATTGTTTAATGTAATTTGTATTTCTCTCGAAATCGTCCGACTTTCAAACAGTATCAAAAGAGTTATTTCCCTTTACACATCTTCGTTTGACACTAAACTGAAGAAGACAGCTGGCTACTGGACCGCTTGTAGACAACTAGTTATCTCCCATTACTCGTATAACCTGTTGTAGACGAGAAGAGTTTGACGAACAGATCCAAATTTTATATTACGCGAGCAAATAATTGCAGTTATTGCGGGAAAAGATTTCCGAATTGTTCTTGAAGTCTTTTTCTTTTACTCCTTTTCTTTTACTCTTTTTCTTATTATTTTTGCTGAATAACATGACCATTATGTGAAATAAAACCACCTTTTGACATTTTTTTCACCCGTAAACTGAACGAGACAGTGTTCACTGTAGGAACTTATCACATTTACTGAGGAACACTTTTACACTCATACAATAGATTTTTCCACAACACAATAAACTAGCGTCACCGAGTGTTCTTATAAAATGTCCGGTAATACTTATTTCATCCCAGTGGTATTCCCGGATCGTCCCGCCCTATTTTTATTATTGTCAGTGTAAACAGATGGGCATAAATTCCTTGTTTTCAACCAAACTCTAAATCTTAAAAAAAAAAAAAAACACACACACACACACACCGTTTTCACGAATGCCTGCAAAAGTATCTTAGCAAAGGAAGTACAAGTACCATCCATCATATTCTGAGACGTAATCTACAATGGAATATATACTTATCCGAGTTTCCTCCGCCTCCTACAACAAACTTTTGACATTTCTACAGATACAAACATCTGCCAGTCAGGATTTCTAAATCTCGTGCAGGAGCCATATGAAACACTTGATTGGGTACACTTTGGTTTGGCTTCTGCATACAATTATGCCACAATAATATATAACCCGGTGAAAAGATCCAAACTTTATTAAATTGTCCCTTCAAGCTATCTTACACAAATTATGTTTTCGCAAAATGTCTTGTGTGTTAATTACAACTTAAAATCACAGTTCTTAACAATTTCATATGTCACCTTTAAAACATCGTCTGCTCCCTTTGATGTATGACGTCGTACATGATTCACGTAGTTGCCTCCTCGTCGCAACCCTTGGTGCGATAATGCTAGGCAAATCTAATATTGCAGACTGCTATAGGCTCCATCTGAAAGACTGATGCGGGAAGATTGTCTAAATTCGCCAACGTTTGAGAATTATGTGTGATGTCATTATCTCAGCCACCACTTTCTATTCTGGGGTCAATTTGGACGTTTACCGAATCTGATATTTTCTTTGTAAGGAATATAAATTCAATTATCCTTTTCCGCATTTTCTAAGCATAAGTCCTATGTCTAGCAGTTTAAACAATCTCTTTTATTCAACCTTTTACATGTTTAAGTTTCATTTGTATACATATACATGATATAACTGAGAACTGGGAAAACAAATGAAAAAGCTCATATTGTTTTGGGTAGACGTTTTGAACAAAAATCCCCAAAATAAAGGGAAATGTAACTCATTGTTTCTATCAACTGTACTTCTTTGTCAACTTTATTGCCATTCATACTCTCAGCCTCACAAAGTTGCAATAATTCTACTGTCACACGTTCCGTATAGTGGTACTTTCTTTCAAACTTATTACACATTTTTATTTTGCTTAATAATATCTGCAGTCTTTCAAAAATTCCTTTGTTACGAAAAATGTCTACATTCAAAATCTTTTAATTTATACTTAAAGTATGACATCGTGCTGAAATATTTTTCATTTCCTTTGCTAAACGTTTAGTACACTTCTATCTTAAAATATTTCTAATTTTCTTACTAAATCTAAATGTATAATCAACCGATAATTTCAGACATTCCTTAACGATATTTCAGACAATCTGAAAAGAAACTTCTTAATATCCAACATTTGGATATTTGGATTTCCAAACTATATAACTACCTTTATTGGGAGTTTTGGGCATTTTTACTTCTTTTCGTCATTCAAACGAGGTTTTCTGTAATCCGCATGTTACGTTTCAATTAATTTGAATAGTGACAAGGTTAAGCGCGAGTACGTGACGTTCTTCTGAATTCGTTTGAATTCAGCCATTGTTGCACCTCCTCTTCTGGCGTACGACATTTATTTAGTCCAATTTTAATTTTTGCCAATCGCCTTCTAAGTTAAACAATTTTTTTAGTATCACTGACGAGGCCTAGAAGGACGAAACAACTGTGTGATGCAGTTTAATTCATTATTTTGGTCAACTGTATCTAATTCTAAATTTGTATTGAAATACATGTATGCTATCACTTATATGTACTTCCCGAAGAGAAACTTAAAACATATTATTCATTTGTGAGATATTTAGACTTTTCTACCAATCATGATTTCCAAATTTTCAATAAGCATACCACCAGAAAAGCGCACTTGAGTATAGATCGGCAAAACCTTCGTAGCCATGTTACATAGTGGTTCGATACTGCCTCCCTGTAATGGATGTTATGTAGCACGACCCCACGAAGTCAAGTGGTTCATATGTACCGACATTCACATAACGAATACTGTTTTCTTCTCCACTGGCGTGTCTTCAAGGAATTTACAAATGATATGTCTCGTGTGAATAACGGAGAATGTTGAGCAGATTAATGAAAGCATGTCTAGTCATAGAGAACGTGAGATACTTGAATTCCAATAAGAATTTAAAAAAAATAGTAAATAAGTAAATTCAAGTACTGAACTGTTTTCATATGACATTCATAGGCTTATGAATGCGCTTTGTTTCATGATCAAATTGTCTTTGTCCAGCTGGCATTCTTAATCCCATGGAAGCCAATTGAAAGCAATTCAATGCTAAAATGTCGGATTTGAAGTTTTGATTAAAGAGACAACAATGTTACGTAAACCAGTTACCAAGCCAAAACTTGCATTATTTATCTACACTTTGAACGAAAATCTTGTCTCATCGTCTTTCAGAGGAGCAATGCCATTGATTTAAGGAAATGTCTGCGGGGCGGCGTCCTGTAGGTCAACGACCAGATCGCAGACTGTAGATCAATTTTGAAGACCACTTTTCTCGAAGATGCTGTACATCTGGTCTAAATAATCTAGTTTTTAACATTTGACCACAATGAAAGTGTGTTAATCCATTTTATGGGAAGTCCATGTATAATGTAGTTGTTTTATGTATAGTCGGAGTTCGTGTGTCGTAAAATTGTCGTCTTTCTGTCAATACAAGCCATTTACATGATCAATGGTCCCCAGAGACATCTTAATATACACCATGAATGTTTTCCAATTTGACTAGGAGATCTTTTGATGCCCAGTAAACACTAATGTTGGCTGTAGTTTTAGGATTGGCGGCCAAGCTTGACGCGACCCAGTAACAACAACACACACCAGCGTCTCGTCTAATGACATCATCTGACGCAATTAA